GTGAGAAAGGAAGGAAGAGCTTTTCTAAAATAGCCTGGTTTTAGGCAATTGTCAGCAAATACCCGTTATCTCACAGCTAGGAGGGGAAAGAAATGAAAATATATATTGCATTTCTTAAATTGTAAGGACCAGACCTTAAAAATCCTTTTGAAATTGAGCATTTGTTTGATAGATACATAAATCTGGCAGCTGGAAAGAAGGCCTGTTCAGAAAAGCTGGGGAGTCACCATTGTTGAGACCACCTGTCATGTCACATGAGCCTAGAGCCTTGGGGAAGAGAGTCAGCCCAAGGGTTCTCTCTTCATTTTTTTAAAATGTTTTATTTATGGAGCAAGATCAATTTTATATATCTCCGAAAGTCTACAATTCTGCTCACCGCCATTTGCTGACTAATGTCTCCAGCAGAGAAGGATGACAAGCAGTTTCAAGAATTATGGCTAGCTTTGACGTTTCTTATCAAGGCTGTTTTTTATTTTAAGAACATCTGCTTTGATTAAAGGCATTAGAGCCAGGAGCAAATAAAAATGTGTCTGATTTTCACATGTCTGGCATTTTATAACAGGAACCGTGATGAAATCTGTGTCTTAATTCTCACACCCCTAAGGCAAGTGATGAGTATTAACCTAGTATAGTTCAACTAGTTTCTTCTCCATTATCTGGTTTGGGGTTCTAAAAAAAAAATTCCTGTGGCAGGAGACTCGTTGGTTGAGTCAGACTCTTACTTATTTATATCCTCTACTTTGCTGCAAAGATATTTTCATACCCCTCTCTGCGGCAAAAACTATTTTAAAAGTGACTTGGTTGAAGAATATGTTGGGACATGGGTCCCGGATTGAGTGAACCTAGAAACATCCCCATCAAATTATTTTTGTATTCCCACAAACTAAAAAAAAAAAAAATGTATAGTAAATACACAAGACAGAAGTGACGTTAAATTATTTGAAACAAATAACAAAGGAGAGCTGACAATTGTTTTCTGTGGGTTTACTAGAAAGATTCAGGTGTCTTTCTCTTCAGCTTGACCATCATTCTGTGGCAGATGGTTTGCATTCTTGAAATGATCGGTGTTTTTCTGATTCTGTGACGTGAATTCATCAGCTCCCTCTGTGTTACCGCATTTCGGGGGGACATAGGGCTGGACGTGGAAGACGCTGTGAGTGTCTATGTAACGTCTATGTAACGTGGCTGGAATGGTGCAGTAGGTGTTTCTTAGAACTTCCAGATCCCTCAGCTTTGCCCTTGACCATACTTACTAGTGGAGTATGTTTCTTTCATCTCTGTTTTGCTATTCTTCTCTCCCTACCTCCACAGATGGGTCTCAATTCTCTTTCCATCAGCTTCCTTTCTGGCCCCCAAGCCTGCACTCTAAAAATCTCTATCCTTGTTGCCTTGTTTGTCCGTCCCCCACGTGCTCAGGCCCTCAGTGTGTCCTTGAACTGAAATATCATGTAGGCGGGCGTTTTCACGGGGCAGGTGTTATTATATTGGCTTTGATCACGGCCAGTGACAGCTGGTATTTCTTACTGTGGAATGTAACATTACATTAACATTACACTACTGTAATTAACAGTACGTGTAAGGAACATTTACACAAAAGTACCTATAAGTAACAGTAGTGTAATGGCCAGTGTGGAAGTGGTTGGTAGCCTGGACACACAGTAGGTCCCTTGAGCCTATAGACATTCCATATATCAACTTTTCTCCCTTGTCTGTTATCTCAGATCTGTCAAATAGCCATAGATCAATAGATAATATTCTGTTGACCCCGTTGTGTTTATTCCTGATGACTTACTGTTGAACGAGAGCTCTCCGGATTGGTGGAGATTAGGACACTAGAAACTGCCCAAACCCTTCTGGGCCTGAAATAGCCTTTTCCATATTCTTTTCCCCACGAATTTTTGAGCACCACTTGGATATCCTAAATGGTTAGCTAAAAGAACACAATTGTCAGTCCTGGCTCTGCGTATTCCTGTGGGGGGCTGGTACACCTTAACTGGCAAGTTGTCTTTGATTTGGGATATGCAGAGCTCTAAATGGGGGCATGCATGATATGTTGTTGGATTTCTACGCATCTATAAAAATGTTACTCCTCTATGCAAATCAATTTTAAGTCTTCATGTGGTACAGCTGCATTTTCACTTCTGATGGAGGAAGTACATGAGGGTCAATCACCTCTAGGCCTGGCTCAGTGATCAGCAAGTAATTGGGTTGGGGAGGCGCAGGGAGAACCGAGAAAAGCCTTGGTTCTTGTCCTCACATAACCTGGAGTCCTTGGGGGGCCCCAGGCATGTGTTCAACGTGTGGCCCAACACATGCTCTTCGGCAATCACTGGGACGTGCTCTAAGAAGAGCTGAGTGATGGGATAATTAGGACCGAGCAGACAGCGGGGTGGATGGTTTGTCTGCAGATAATAGCTTGTTTGCTAATTGCCAACACCAGATTTACTGGGCAATTAGACATTTGGTGTCTTCCAAGACCTTCTGTGCAAATGTGGACACATGGCTGCAGGCCTCACAGGTAGCAGGTGGAAGGAAGGTGGCTCCCACTGCTGGATGGCATCTCTCTGCAGCCTGCCCAAGGGGCCGTGGGCAGGGCAGACTTCTCGCCGACAGGTGGGAAGGACCATCTGGCAGTGATCCCTAGCAGAGAGGCTGGAGTCCCCCTGCTTTATGGAAGGGGAGTGCCCTTGGCTGGGAGATTAGCGAAGAGGGTGGACTTCAGCAGGCTGGGCCAGGGGCTGGGCTTACGTCTCTGTTATCTTTTCAAGAGCACCAAGCCATGGGTGCCCCTAGGAATCAGAAATTGCTCTCCCTCTAAGATGAGCAAGTTGAGTTTTTTAAATGCAGACTTTTTTATTGTGAAAAAGTATATATGGCACAAAATCTGCACTTTTAACCATTTTTAAGTGTACAAATCAGGGGCATTAATTGCGTTCACAGTATTACAAACCATCATCCTCCCTATTTCCAGCAACTGTCCTCACTCAGAATAAAAACTCAGCACTCCCCATTCCTTCCTCTTCCCTCCAGCCCCTGGTAACGTCTGATCTGCTGTCTCTCTGACCTTGCCTGTTCTAGATATTTCATGTACGTGGAATTATACAAAACTTGTCCTGTTGTGTCCAGCTTATTTTACTTGGCGTAATGTTTTCTAGGTTCCTCCGTGTGATAGTGTGCCCAAGAACTTCTTTCCTTTTTGCAACTGAGTAATATTCCATTGTATGGACACACACATTTTGTTTACTCTTCTGTCGACGGAGACTTGGCTTGTGTCTACCTTTTGGATATTATGAATAATATCACAGTGAATGTGCACTTTTAAGTGTCTGTTTGAATCCCTGTTTTCTGTTCTTTTGGGTAGATACCTATGCGTGGAATTCCTGGGTCATATGGTAATTCTACATTTGACTTTTTGAGGAAGCACTAAACCATTTTTCCATAGCAGCTGTACCATTTTGCACTCCCACCAGATGTCTACAAGGGTTCCAGTTTCTCCATATTCTTGCCAACATTTGTTACTTCTTTCTTTCCTTTTTAGAGCTGCCATCTTAGTGGGTGTGAAGCCTTATCTCATTGTGGTTTTGATTTGCGTTTCTCTGGTACTAATGACGTTAAACATCTTTCCACGTGCTTATGGGCCATTTGTGTGTCTTCTTTGGAGAAACGACTGGTGAAGTCCCTTGCCCTGCAGGGTGGTTTCGGGCCTCTGTACCAACTCGCTTCTGCGAATTTCTCCCAGGATTTGGAACTGGATCCTTCCCAGGAGGAGGGAGACCAGAAGCCTGCAGGCAGTGGAGGTGGCTGTGCAGATTTGAAGGCTCACAATCACCCTTTCATGATTCACTTCATTCCCTCAGTCCCTTTGGCACCTATGGTAATGATGCTCTTTGAGTTCTCATGGAGCAGGAAAAAACAAAAACCAGTAAGTGTGTGGGATTAACCAGAGTGATCTGAGAGCAAAGGCTGATGGAACCACTGCTGTGCTCCCCTAGAAGCAGGCCTCTCTCAGACACCTCACACCCTCTGGGTTTCCTTGACCATCAGTATGTTTGAGCAAATTCCCCAGTTCTTCCCACACGGGAGTAGGCTGTGTACTAGCTGGGCAATGTTTGCAGAGCACCCCAGTGGGCCCTGGCAATCTGTGGGTGCCTAGGGTCACTCACAGTCCATGCTCTGCCGCCCTGCCAGTCCTGGGTGGTGGGCGAGGAGACCAGCGTGGAGCTTCCAGCAGGGACAGTATGACTTCTCCTTGGGTGCTCATTCCCGGAGGAAGGCCACTGGGCCCTGGCAAGGTGTCAGGACAAATGTCAGTGCCTGCATAATGGCGAGGCCAGCAGCAGGGCCATCATCATAATGATGTCTGGGCGGCTTGGCTGTTGCCTCTTCTCTGGTTTGACCTCATGCGTGTTGTGGGGCCCCGGGCGCAGGGTCCGGGGACACTAGCCTGCCTGACTTTCTGCCGTGGTTTCTCTTAACCGGATGCCAGAGCTGGCAGGATCACTGAAGAGAGATGAGTCCCCACGTTGTGATGCGGCCTTCTGCTAGAGGAGGGGAGGAGCGGATGTGTCCACTAAGCAAGGAAGCTCTTTCTGGACGCTGCACGCCTGTCCTATATTCCTGTAATGGGGCTTGTTGATCTCTGGCTAAGGCAAGGAACCTGGAACCTCTTCCCCAAAAAATGCATCCAAACATTTACTCAGGTTTATCTGGTCCATGGTGGGGCACAGGTGAGGTTCTGGCTCTTGAGAGAGCGCAAGCCTGGAATAAGGCCATGGGGGGGTTGGGCAGCGTCTCCGCCAAGCAGGCACTTGGCGGGGGGGGGGGGGGGGGGGACTTGGTGAGAGGCCTGGTGGTCACGGGGAGAGGAAGAACGTTTCATCTGGTTCTAAATACTGAACACAAGGGAGTGCCCGAACAGATAGACCAAGCTTGTGCTGGGGTTTGGCTTCCCGAGGCTCAGGCCACACCACTTCTAAGGAGGCCTTTGTCTTTCCTTTCAGAAACAGCCCCCACGTCTGCATATTCATCTCCAGCCCGGAGTCTGGGGGACACAGGGATAACGCCGCTGTCCCCTTCCCATATCGTGGTAAGAGATGTATATCTATGTGCAGGGCTGTGTGCTGACGATCTTTGCTTTCTGGATCTGCTCTCACAATCCAGGCTGCTGGGCAGCCGCTCGCCTTTGTGGGTGGGGAGTGCATGGTCCCGGGGACTGACCATGTGAGCCCACCAAGCCCTTCCCTGCCGTGGGCCTGGAAAGGCTTTCTGCGGTGTGGCTGGTGCTTCTGGGCTTTTGGCCTGCGTGCATTAGCAGGAAGGGTGGGAGTACCCCTTGAGATCGAGGGCCCAGAGACAGTGAGGCATCCTTTCAGAAGCGAGCCGCCAGCTCTGGCGGGGGCATCAGTGAAAAGCAGTCTAGTCCACGAGTCTGTGGCTGGGCTGGCTTCTGCGTTGGCCGGCCCAGGGAGACGACCTAGTTGGGCAGGGGACTGCAGACTGGGCTTTGCTGCCACCCAACCCCTCACTGAAAAGGTGGATTTTTGTGGGGCAGCTGTTCAAGGGACTTCCACATAGCCGACCAGAGAAAATTGCCCTGGGAGGGGTCACTTTGCCAGAGGCACCGCTAGGCGGGGGCACCAGCTTGCCCTGGTTTTCCTGTAACTGTCTGGGTGTCACCTCCCTCAGTGTCCTGGAACTCCCTCCGTCCTGGGAACCCTGGGAGGCTGGCCTCCTATGGCCCGTCCTCACACTGTGGCTTTCCAAACAGCACCCTGAGGGGCCCCCGTAAGAGCTTCAGGGTCACCTTGGGGTGTGTGGGGAGCGGGGACTGTGAGACGAGAGGCCAGATGGGTGGGGCTCTCACCCCCTGCTCTAAGCAGTACATGTCAAGCCCGACATCTATGGGTTTATAACGTGAAGTTCTGGGGATATAAAAGAAAGTCTACACTGCTTTAAAAAAAAGAAGGTTTGGAAACCTGGGATGGCCTGATCCACTCACTTGATGTTGAGGAAAGGCTGTGTCCCCTGAGGGGACACGACTTGTCAGGATCACATGGCCAGGGTCCCTGGCACGCAAAGCCCTCTTCCCACACACAACACGCCTGAGCAGATGGAGTGGTCACTAGAGATGTGGCAAAGCCACAGCTGGCAGAGCATTCTGGGCCGTGTCTACTCGGGAATTCAGGGGAGGAGGCAGTGAGGGAAAGGTTGTGTCGCTCAGGGAACAACTGGGCTTCCAGATTGGATGGACTTTCCATAATTAGTCAAGTTCACAAGCAATTGATAAAGGGGCTGGTGGGCAGGCTGTGGGCAGGTGTCTTCACCCTGGCCGCCCGGGCCTCTGCTCAGGGGGCACCTCCATTTTTTCCTGGAGCCCCTCGGGTGGGGGCTGAGGCTGGACCGCTCTCTCTGTAGGGTTCACTTTGTGGCACACTTGAGCCAGGATTCTGTCTGTAGTGGGTGCACACCTGGGCAGAGTGGAAGGCTAGGCTTGGCCACCCCTGCCCACCCCTCATGCTGTACCCCGAACGTCCGCAGAATGATGCTGACCCAAATGTCTCGGAGCAGCAGACGTTTCTGGTGGTGGTGGCCATTGACTTCGGAACCACATCCAGCGGCTACGCCTACAGCTTCACCAAGGAGCCAGAATGTATCCACGTGATGAGGTGAGTGCTGTGGGTAGGGAGGGCGGTGTGGGGGTGCCATCACCGCACCTGTGGAGACTTGGAGGAGGGCCCTGGGGGAGGGGAGGGGGATTTGCCTAAGAAGCAGATGAATGGCATTTTGTAGGCGGGTCCTGGATTCTGGCCCAGCTCGGCCCCAAACCCCCTGTGCCCCCGAGCCCGCTCTCATCTCTGGGCTCCACGTTCCTGGTCTGGAAAAGCATTAGTTTAATTCTGACTCAGTGGGTCTAGGGAAGGGCCTAGATGGCGTGTTTGAAACCTGACCCGGATTATTCCAGCACGCAGTCCGGGGAAGGGGTGCTGACTTGTAGGCAGTTTGCGATGATGGAGGAGGTCCCAGGCGTCCGCTCGGCCACACACTGTGTGACCTTGTGCAGTTGCTGGACCTTCTAAACCTGTTTCCTCATCTGTGAAATGGGGGTAATGTCAGTGTCTGTCTCACAGAGTGTGTGTGCATGTGAAACGAGATTTCCTTCAAGCTTAATACACAGTAAAATGTAAACAGGGAAGGTGCTAGTCCTTAAATGATAGTAACCAGAAAGCAGAGTGGGGGGAATTTCAGCCAGGTCAACCTATAGGGTCACTGGAGTAGCCTGGGTTCTCTTAGGACACACTGTGTGCTCAGTACACTGCTGGCCTCCTCCACCTCGCCCCGCCATGCACACAGCCGCCTAGAACACCCTCTTGTCCTCCCCATCCACGCCTGATGGACTGTCTGTGAGGATGCTGGTCTGTCCTGACACCCACACAGGCTCCTCCAGTCTGGTGCATGGCTCTCCTGCAGAGTCTGGGGCCCCTCAAGCTTTGGGGGTCAGGGCTTTATCTCCCTGATTTTCCAAATCCAAGGATGGCTCTGAAGATACCCTGTGATCGGCTTTGGAACTCATTTAACTGGCAATTGTGGAATTAGTGATAGCTCCCAGATTAAGATCTTATGCATTTTTGTAGTGTGCTGCTTACAATAGAAGTCATAATAAAAGTGACCCCCAGCCCCAATCTTAGTTGTGTTGTCCTAAGAGGCTCCAGACACCTGTTGTGTTGTATTATCAGGAAATAATGAAAAACCAGTTCTAGTAGAGAACCCCGATGATAGCAGAGCCCTCTTCCTTAGTCATCACCAGGGTTCTGCCTCTGGGCAGCGAGGCACCTGCTGTGATGTCTTCTCTGCCATCCCCGGAAATGGAAACCCGGAAGGGAGACGAGCATGCTATCAAAAGCTAGAGTCAGTGTTTATCAGCCTCTACATAGTTGTTTTAAGAAATGTTATTTTGAAGGGATAGTCTTGCAGTGAAAATTGAAAAAAAGAAGAAGAAGAAGAAGAAAAAGAAGAAGAAGGAGAAGAAGGAGAAGAAGAAGAAGAAGAAGAAATAACATTGCATTTGCTCAGGGGGAGGGGGGGAGATCCCCATAGTATCAGCAGTGCTCAGACCTTTCGAGACATCATCTCCATTCTTGTAGAGATTTTGGAGGGAGGCCCTACCTGAATTTTATTTCAACCAGAGCACGTTAACCTTGACACAGACTGACACAATTATGGTGGAGAAAGTTCATTTTTTTTTTATTTTAATAGGAATGAAGGAATAAAAGTTGGAAGGGGAAAAAACTCTGGAGGTTTATTGCCTCGTGAAAATGTCAGTGGTTGATGGTAACAGAAAGTCTGTTTGTGAGCGGTCGCGTGGGGAGCGCCTGGGGGCCTGGCGACTGGGGTGGGGAGGAACCCAGGGTCTCGGTGCGCTCATCATGGGGACCTTGGCTCCCTGGGGAGAAGCCTGCATCTCGATGGAGCTTTGACAGGGGAAGCTGCCAGGGGACGATTCCAGACCCAGCTGCATGGCCGAGCCAGGTTGGCTGTCCACCTGGATTGTGACGGTTCCCCCGAAGCCTAACGATGCCATGTTGGGAGCAGGTGCAAGTCCTGCCAGGCGCTCTGCCACCTTCCTGGCCGGCCAGAGAAAGAGGCCTGCTTCCTCTAGGATACTGTGTTGCCACCAGAGGCTCCTGTGGTCCTGCGGTTCATGGCAACACAGGGTTGGGGGGAAGGCAGCTGCAGAGTCAGGACCTGGGAGAGAAGAGAGCATCCTGGCCACCTTGGCAGCCGTGGCTTCTCCTGCCTTCTAGAGGAGGAAGGGAAGGCACCAAATCACCTGCCTTCTCCACTCCTTCCTATTCTTTGTCTTTCTACCTAAGAGAAGAAGGAAGCTTCTCTGGGGCCCCACCTACCCACTGCCCTACCTTACCCTCTCATCAGCTCCAGGACAGACTCCCATCGTCTCTGCCTGCCTGTCTGTACCCTCCTCTCTCCTCTTCTGGCGTCTCTTCAGTATCCAGCCTTGCAGGACGTAATCCCTTCCCCCCTCACAGTTCCCATCAGGGCTCTCCTGCCTCCTTGTCACCATGGCTGTCACCCAGTAGAGAGGAACCAAGTCTGTCTCCTCCTGGATCTCTCCCGTGAACACCAGGCTTGCATCTCCAGCCCCCTCCGGGGAGTTCAATGCCAGCAGGTTCACCTGGAGTCCCTTGTTCCCTGTGGCCTCCTTGGTTAGGACTCCAGGTTTCCAGGAAGAGGGCTTTCTCCTTTGGCTCCCCCATGGGAGCTTCTGGTACCTCTCCTCCTACTCACACCATGGCCACGTGGCTCAGTTCTCTCTCGGGACGGCTTGTCCACCTCCACTCCTTTCTTTTACCCTGTTTGAGCCTCCTCGCCTCCGCTCCCAGACAAGGCCTGAGCCTCCTGCTCAGTCTGCCGTCTAGTTCAGCGTGCTCTGGTCACCCACAGCTCTGATTCTGCCATGCCCCTGCCCTCTAACCTTTAGATTTGCTCACACTTCCCTTTTACACGCTCCATTTCCACCCTACCCAGTCACTTAGCAACCCCGCACAAGCCCCATGTTCTCCTACCTCTGAGCAGCCTACAGTGCCCTCGCCTCCTTCAAGAGCCCGGCAGGTCTCTGTCTGTCCTTTGAGTCTCTCCTGAGCCCTGCATTCCTCCCCTCGCCCTACCATCTGGCACCTCTGCCTTCTCTAACCCCTAGGGTATTTCCTGGGTCCCTCGTTCTCCTGTGGTAAGGCAGGCACTTATGCATTGGTTTATACCCTACCTTGCTTTAGAGAGGACACAAGCTGACTATACATTTGATTTGAGGGCTTGCAAGTTAAAAAAACAGACCCCCCCAAAAAAAAAGACATAACATCCTAGACAGAGACCTAAAGTTTTCATGTCTGGGTCGCCAGCACTTGCAAACAGTAGGTGCTCAGTAAATGCTGAGTGGACGATCGAAGCAGACCTTCTCCTGAGGAAGACCCTGGTGCTTGCCCCTTTCCTCTTTCTTTCTGACTGAAGTCGTGTCTCTGATCACCCCTCAACCAACGGAATCAGAGCGTGCCTGTCGCAGCTCCCGTGAGCTCCCACACCTGTAAGAATTGTGCACACAGTAGATGTTCTCACCAGTGGGCCTGAACTGCGATTCTGAAGGAAGGTCCCATAACCTCTGCCTTTCCTTGGTGTCAGGCGATGGGAAGGGGGCGACCCCGGGGTGTCCAACCAGAAGACTCCGACCACCATCTTGTTGACTCCCGAGAGGAAGTTCCACAGCTTCGGGTATGCCGCCAGGGACTTCTACCACGACCTGGATCCCAACGAGGCCAAACAGTGGCTGTACCTGGAGAAGTTCAAGATGAAGCTGCATACCACTGGGGTAAGTGAGCCTCTCCCAGGCCCCCACGTCCTCTGCACTGGAGAGCCAACCTTCCCTCCAGCCCCGAGGTCTTCCCAACCCAGGAAACCCTCAGGTCTCACCCAAGCAGAAAGTAACATCCATTTACCTTGATTTTGGAAACAATCTGGAGCACAAAACACTTTTGCAGAATGCACGGCACTTTCTGATACACACATGGGCGGAGGGTTATTCAGAATGTTTAACAGCGTGTGTGCCTTGGCAACTGATCGGTCAGGGCGGACACCTGCTGGTGTCCACCATCTTCTCAGGGGCCAGGAGGTCCCTCCGCAGTTGCTGGGTTGTTGGGAAACCCGGGGGTCCTGTAGGTGTGCCTCAGGGGCTGAGGGCATTTGGGGGACCCAGGGCAGAGGCGATTAGCTAACAAGTTTAGAAGTAAACATCTGTGTGGGGAAGCGGGTCGCCTAGGAAACAGGTGCCTAATGCATTGGTGGCTCAGCTCGCCAAGCAGCTCTGTTCCCAGCATGCCAGTGTCCTGTAAGCTGTCCTCATCCTCGAGGCCCTCCCCCAAGCTTCATGGAAAAGTTTGGATCACAGGATCGGATTTTTTCAGTTTGAGCATTGTATCCCACAGATTTTCCTTAATTCTTGGTACTTAGAGATTCATGGTGTTTAGGACCACGGATGATGGTGTTTAGGACCACGGACGCTGGGACCACACGGCCTGGATTTAAATCCTGCCTCTGATACTCGCAAGATACTTAATCCCAGTGACTTAACCTTTCTGGGCCCTCTGTGAAATAGAGACCCTGACAGGGCCTTCTTCACAGGGATGGTGGAAGGATTAAAGGGATCAAGCTACCTAAAGCTCTTCAAGCCGTGCTGGTACCGAGAAAATTCCAGCCGGTTGCTGGCTCCCATTGTGATTGCCTTCGTTTGTCTGCGTGTTTGTAGGTACAAACACATGTTAAGGGACGCCCAGCAGCCAGCACCCTGCCTCCAAGGCTGCCCCCTTTCTGAGCCTGGGAGTTGCCTCCCCAAATTGGGGGTGTCTTTGTTGAGTAGGGTGGCTGGTTGGGAAGAGGAGCTCGTGCCGATGGGTCAGAACAGCGGACAGGCTCCGCGAGGCTGGTTCAGTGTCTTTGTCCCCTTCACGCCCTAAAGGCAAAGCCTCCTTACCCGGCTGGACCAACCTGGGGGCTGGTTTTTGTTTTTCCCTCTGGTAGGAGCAGCCTCTGGTAGTAAGGAGCGTCTGGGTTCGGGCTGCCTTGGGGGCCTCCTCCTGATGATCGCCCCACTGTCTGCCCATTGCCACACTGTGAGCACTTTTCTGGTCATTTTTGAATGACCCCAGTGCGGCCAGCGTCTCCCAGCCGGGCTGCTTTGGCTTCTGGTGGAGAAGGCAGGCAGCGGTGCTGCGCTCCCAAGAGGATTAAGCACAAACCTTAAAATAGGAGCTCTTCTGTTTGGGCAACTTGGTTGCAGCTCATGGGGAGTGAAAGCTTCCTGTCTGCTCAGCGTCACGCACGTTGGCAAGTTGGCGGGATGCTTTAGGCCTCTGTGAGGGGGGCTCCTGAGGTGACTGTGAGTGTCCGAGGGTGGAAATAGTGTGTCATAGTGTGTCAGCTGTATCAGCAGTGGTGCCTGCTGCCTTTCTCTCCTCCTGGGCTCTGTCACCTCCCTGAAACCTCTGCTTCGTGAGGATCCAGGGGAGACAGAATGAGAGGGAAGGAGGGAGGGAGGGAGAAGTGTGAGGTAGGGGCTAAAGGGAACAGCTGGGACCCCCGCCACAGGAACGGGGTGATGCTGCCAGGACCCTTACTGGCAGAGAGCAGGGGACACCTATCCTAGTCTACCAAATATCAGGAAACAGAAATATGGCTCGCTGACTTTCCCAGACCTCCAGGTAGGAGTTCCCGAAGCCACAAGGCGCGTCTCTGCTCCCCCGTCTTACTGTTCCTTCGTCTCCCCCACTAGGACCTCAACATGGATACAGACCTAACGGCAGCAAACGGCAAGAAAGTCAAAGCCCTTGAAATCTTCGCGTATGCCCTGCAGTACTTCAAGGAGCAGGCACTGAAGGTAGGGCACGTGCCAGGGCCCTGTGGCAGGGGGAGGCACCCCCGCCAGTCAGGGGAGCGGACACAACCTCGAGGGAGGAAACGTAGGATTTCCATTCAGAAAACAGGATGCACCCTCGGGCCCCTACTGGCGGGAATGGGAAGTAGGGCAGCTGCTATAGAGAAATCTGGCAGTTTCTCAAAGGTTAAACATAGAGCTACCACATGACCTAGTGATTCTGCTCCTCAGTATATAGCCAGGAGAAAGGAAAAATGTGTATTTCCACAAAAACCTGTCTGTGAGTGTTTACAGCAGCAGCATTTGTAAGAACTAAAAAGGGGAGACAAGACGAATGTCCATCGGTGGATGGAAGGGTCCCTAAGTGGGTCTTTCCGTACAAGGGGATATTAGTCAGCCATAGACAGGAACGAATCACAGACGTCCGCAACCACAGGAAGAAACGTTGACAACATTACGCTGAGTGAAAGAAGCCAGTCAATTCTGTATGATTCCATTCATAAGAAATGTCCAGAGCAGGTGAATCCCCGGAGACAGGAGGCAGATTGGCAAGTGCCGCAGGCTGAGGGACGGGACAGGAGTGACTGCTAATAGGAATGGGGCTTCTCTTTGGGGTGACGGGATTAGAGAGCGTGACGGTTGCACAACCTTGTGAATGCGTGAAAACCCACTGAACTGTACATTGGGAAAAGGAGAATTTTATGGTATATGAATTATATCTCAGGAGACACGTGTGGCAGCTGGTGGGTCTCGGGCGAGGTGCTTGATTTCTCCAATACCCACGTTCCTACCTGGAAGAGTGGGGCAGGTTGTGTACCTTGTGGGTTGCTGGATATTAAGCCAGACATGAGGCACCTCCCTCGGGGTGGGGCACAGTAGGCTCTTGGCAAAGGGTTGCTGCCATCCCTCCTCCCTGTCCTCCCAGACCCCAGGGGAGAAGCTGGTGCCTGAGTGAGCACCTTGGACGATTATTGCAAAGTCTGTGCGGTGAGGCCCTGGATGGGGAGGGATTGGCTAACTTCTAGGTGGCTACATCTGGCCACTCGGTGTCTCTGCCTAGGGGCAGGGTGATGAGCGTGTGGGAGTCAGATGGGTAAAGAGCCTCACGTAAGCTCCATCCAGAAAGAATTGGGAACTTTAGAAACATTTGGTATTATGGGATCACTAGAAGAAATTTAGTGAACTCTAAAAATAGAATAGAGTTCTAGAAATAGGGCCTGAGGGAAACAGACGTGAGAATGTAATCCTGCTTCCATCCATTCAAGCACCTGCTTCTTCTTTTTTGAGTACTTTTTGTGTACCCGATCCTGGACAGGTTCTGGCAGCATTGTAGTAAACAGAGTATGAAGGAGTATATGGTCATGTAGTCAGCGGATTGGTGTTGTGAGGGGGTCACTGTGGCTGTTCGGGGTTTGGTGAAGGCAGAGGTTCTGCCCAACGGGTGGCAAGCAGGGAAGGCTCCCTGGAGAAGGTGCATCAGGGGCCCCTCAGCGGCAGCAGCTGGAACGTTGCGTGTTTCAGGCTGGTGGAGTGGCGCAGGAAGAATGCAGGGGAAAAAAACACAGCAGACAGCTCTGGAAAGCAAACAGTCTGGGATGAGAGAAGGCAAGGCTGCGGGGTCCAGTGGGAACAGCAAGCTTGGGTCGAGATCATGCAAAGCCTCGAAGGCCAAGCTAACGAACTACTTGGGTTATGGGGAGCCATGCAAGGATTTCTAATAGCGGAATACCATGGCCACAGAGACAGCGTTTGAGGGAGGGAGACCGCAGCATCCTCACGGCCTGCAGGGTGGAAGAAAGCCCTATGGAAGCAGTGGACTCAGATCCTGAAGCAGGTGTGTCTGAGGGCTCTGAGACTTGGAGAGTGGGGAGTCATGTGGGGAACGTGGAAACCAAGAAGAAAGAGGGGGCCAGGGCAGAGGGAACGAGTAGATTCTGGGAAATAATTCTTCCACCAGAAGAGGGGAGAGGGGAGAGGATAGAAGGAAGGAGTAGGAGGGAGACGAAGGTAGTGAGGAGAGCCTCATTGTCCTGGGCGGCAACGAAGGGGACCAGGCAGTACGGAGATGTGGACCTCTGCCGGCCCGGAGAGCAGGGATCTCAGAGGGATGGGCTCGGTGCCCGGTAGGCCAGACAGCCAATGAAGGACCCTCTGCCTACAGTGCCTGTGGCCACCCGGAGACAGGTGAGGGAGCAAGGGAGGCCGAGGACTTGCGGGCCCTTTGGATTAGGAGGAGGAGACATGGGGACCTGGGGAAAATTTAGGACCCATGAAAGTTGTGACACTGGCTTATGTTTCTGGTTGATCAAGGGGGAAAGAGTGAACAGCCCATCTCAGAAGGGGAGGGGAGAGAGGGAGGGGGCAGAGGTCCAGCAGGGGTGCAGGAGGGGGTGTGGTTTCGAACATGTCAGCTCAGCTGAAAACTGCAGGAACCTGCTCGCACTTTCTCCCAGCAGGGAACATGCTATAAAGAAATTCCATGAAGAAAAGCTTTTTGAAGAGATTTGTATGAGCTGGGCCCTTCACGAGAGGGTGGTCTGGTGTTTGAAGGACACACAGATTCAGAGGAGGGGACAGTTGCACATTGGACCAGGATGAACAAGATAGAGTGTCTACTGAAGCAGCGTATCTTGGGCATCACAGGCGTGAAGCAGGCTCGATGTTCACGAAGGAAAGCAAGTGAAAAGTGCAACGTAATGGGAAGTTTAATTAATGGCAGGGTCCTTTCCCTTCTAAGCTGTACTAAATCCACTGGCAAACAAACAGCTTATTTATTTATTTATTTAAAAGATTTTTATTTATTTATTTGATGGACAGAGATCACAAGTAGACAGAGAGGCAGAGAGAGGGAGGAAGCAGGCTCCCTGCCAAGCAGAGAGCCCAATGTGGGGCTCGAACCCAGGACCCTGAGATCATAACCTGAGCTGAAGGCAGAGGCTTTAACCAACTGAGCCACCCAGGCTCCCCTCACGTTCTTTTAAATGTCACATATATCAGGGATAATAATGTTCAGAACATCTTGTCTTTCCTTATTTTTTCTGGCTTAATCCACTGAGCCACCCAGGTGCCCCCAAACGGCTTATTTAAACAACCGTCCCTATGGCCAGGGAAGCCCATCGTTCACCTTTTGAGCCTTTTCCTGTTTAAAGAATTTAAAATAGCCTGGATGGCACTTGGCGGTGTGCCTAGAACCTTCCCAACATATGTCACTGCTCACCTGCCTTTAAAGTCCAGTGCAGACCCGCAAGGAAATAAAACACGATTAAAGACAAAACAAAACTCACTGTTTCACTTAGGCCTCATGCAGAGATGTTTTGTTTTGAAGAAAAAAAAAATTTACTAGACATACTTAACACTGCTGAGCTGTAGGCTTAAAAAAATGTTCACATGGTTGATTTTATGTTATGGGTTACTGTCACAATTAGAAATGAAAAAAAAAAGGGCAAAAAAAAAAGTTTACTGACTGATCATAGAGGGAGTTAATTCCGTGACACGGTGGCTCCAACCCAAGGTATCTACAGAAACAGAGGAAATGAGATACCTATCAGAAGAAACAAATCTGCAGCCTATTAATCTTCTGAAACCTGTCCCCAGAACCGACTCAGACGCAGACGCGTGTTGGTCAGAGTTTAGGTTTGATTTCAGATTTGTGTGGTGCGTGTGGCTACCAGAGGGGAGCGGTAGGAAGGAACAAGCTTTATCAGAGGCCTTCTCAGGTGAGCTTCTCCTATGTGTTCTCAATCTCCCCAGAAACACAGAGCATTAGTTCTGTTCTCCCCATTTTACAGATGGGAATACTGAGTCTGAGAATTATTCTAGAGTCGTGTCTTGTCTGCATGGACTTGGAGTGAACCTCTGGTGCTTCTGCCCCTCCCCGTCATCCGGTGTGGTTTAACTTGAACCAAAAGCTAAGAGCAGCACAGTTCTTGCTTAGTCGTTCGTATCCCTCCCGTCCTGCGAGGAGGACTCCTCTGAGGTGCTGGCCTTGCCATAAGGCAGGGGACAGGGACGACTCGGACAACAACTGCCACCAGGTGTTATGCAGAGCTGTGAGCCAGGCCCTGTTCTAGATACAAACCACATGTGACAATTTAGTGAAGACCTTGGTCTTGAGAGTTAAGATATCCCTGGGTCTGGTCCAAATCTTGGCTCTGTCACTGTAGCTGTGCAGCCGTCAGAAGGTACTGCGCGTAGCTAGGACTCAGGCTCCCATCTGTAGGAAAGGTGCGCCGTTATCATCCCTTCCTAGTGAGACCCTGGGACTCATGGAGATGAGGTATGCAAAGTGCTAGATGAGGTTGTCACAGAGTAAGCTCCCAGTAAATGTAGCTCTCAGAAAGTTATCACCCCTCCCAACAACAGTGTGAGCTAGGTATTATTATCCCCATTGTGCAGATGAGGAAACTGAGGCCTGGGAGCCTATCATGTATCCTGTCACATGACTCAGAAGTAGCCAAAGGCCTGTGACCTGCTTGCCTCCTGCCTGCAGTCACGTTCAGTGAGTGAAAGGAGTAGAGCTCCTAGCTTGCGGAATATTCGGGAAGCAGACCCTTGCTTCCTGACACTGGTAAGTTCAGCAGGCTGTAGGGTAGATGGCCCAAGAGTTCATGGCCAGGAAGCCTGGAATTCTCCATGAAGCTGTAGGAGGACCAGCTGTGTCCACTTGACCTGCTGCATTTCCCTTGGCTATAGGAGCTGAGTGACCAGGCGGGGTCGGAGTTCGAGAACTCTGATGTCAGATGGGTCATCACGGTGCCTGCCATTTGGAAGCAGCCGGCCAAGCAGTTCATGAGACAAGCTGCCTATCAGGTGAGTGAGGGGATGGGGCATGTGGCAGCCCAGGATGCCCATGGGGGTGACTGTCACCTCACTCAGGTGTCCCCAGCCCTCATAGGCCTCCCTGGGAGGCAGTGAGGGGTCTCCCATGGGCCAGGGGACATGAAACCTTCCTCTTGGGGGAGGAGAGAGGGTTTGGCCTACTGGGGTTGGGCCCACAGGGGCTGGACCGGGCTCAATTTTCTTTCTGGCTTTATATATCCTATCCTGTAGATTCCCCAGGGCTAGGATTTCAAACTGGGGTACAGAGACATTTCTCCACGGGTGAACGGAACCTCAGGAGAAGGCTTGGACAGTAATAATGTTTGAAGAAGAAAGGAACAAAGAGAAAGCCGATGGCCTTGCACCAAGCACATCAGCTTGGTGTGGAGGTTGAGATACGCACATGTATAGCTGGGACAGGAGGGAAATAGGCTGGTCTGTACGTTTCACCTCGTGAGCAACACGGGAGCACACACGGTCAGGGGTGGTGAGGCCACCAGACCTGCCCGGTGCAGACACCTGGAGGGGCAGTGGCATGGCCAAGGAATGTGTCAGTCAGTGTGGTGCCATGGATAGAACATTCTAGTGCCAAAGGCTAGCCCATCCCTCCTGGGCGCTGGGGGCATCCCTGGTACCACGAACCCTCATGGCCACCAAGCCTCACACTGTCCACAGGCCACATGTGCCATGACGGGGTTCCCCGAGGGTTTGACTTCATGGCAAGAATGGCCAGCTGTGCTGACCTGCTGTTCCGACCCCCAGGTCCGAGATGGCTCCCCCAGGCTAATGAAAGCCCACCCTGGGGCCTTGGTCCACTCCATGCAGTGAGAGTCCGTTTCCAGAGCCTTCAACCTGAGCTGGGCTGCGGCAAGTCACCAACGTAATAGATGTTCCCTTGCGCCCTCCCCACCCCGCTCCCAGGGGACATGTCTCTGATGTTGAGTTTGTAGCCATAGGTATAAATTTCCTTTCAAAACACCCACCGGAGCAACCCTGAGCACCGAATGCAACAAAATGGCCTTGGGTACCTTGGTGTCATGAATTGTACTCACCACTTAGAGCTTCACTCCAGGTGACAGGCAGAGTTCCAGGGAGAGCCATGTCCCTGCCCACCCCCCACCTCCTCCTCCCTACTTCCCCTTCTTCCCTTCTCTGCCGCAGGCTCTCCTCTGCTCTCCCCTTCAGCGTGAGAATCTGGCTCAGTCGAGTATCTGCCAAAAATAGATTTTTGTTTTTATAGGGATGAAGGAAGAGGGTAAGTTCCAGAAAGAGGCAACTTCTCTAAAAAGGAAGAAACCCAAATGTAGTTTCGCTGTCCTCAGAAGCCCGGGGCACCCTGGAGCTTGTCCACAGTGTCGGCCTTCAGGCAGCACCCCAAAGACGGGACGCCGGGACATGGCTGTCTGTGAAGACATGGCCAGTGTTCTGAGTCTATACAGGAAGGAGACTCAGGATTCATGGCTTTCACTCTTGTTTTCCCACAGGAAAACTACAGCAACAAACATGTGACCCGGAAAAGGGTCAGTTCTTATTTTTAGCCTGAAACAGAAAGAGGGGCAGGGACTGGGAGATTTGTCAGGGCTGCTGGAGCCTTGGGCGGCCTCTTCCAAGGACTGCCTCTTGGAGCAGTGGGGCCTGGCGGGGAGGCGCCTCATACTTCGGGTGAGGAGGAAACCAGGCAGATGGGGGTGTGTGCCCTCCGGGGTTTGGCAAAACCAAAATGGCACCTCAGAGGGGTGAATGTAACCAGCATTTATGGATGTGGGGACTTCTCTTTCTGAACCCCAGAGATGACTCTGCAGACTGGCCCATCCTTCAGATGCTGGGCAACTTCTGATGGGTACAGACTTTGTGCAGCTTAATTTTTGGCTCTTTGTAATTCTGATTTGATACTTGTGTCCAGTTTAGTCACCGAATGGCTTTCAAGATGGCAGGGGCCATTCAGTCATTCTTTGTTTACTCATTCATTTATTCATACTCGTTCATTACTCATGCATGTACTCATGTGTACTCATTCATTTATTCACTAAACAAACCCATACCGGGAGACTTCTGGGCGCTGGGACATGGATGGTGCTGGATTCGTATCCTGTGTAACCTGTGTAAGTCTGCAGCCTTTGTACTTCAGGGAGAGTGGCAGAGGGAGTTATGGGGCACAACTGCTTTGCCAACTAGCCTGTGGTATCTTTTAGCTTGTCCTCTGGAAGAGTCCCCATGACAAAATGGAAATGAAGCACAGCCAAAATTAGCATCTCTCTAGTTCTCTCTCCTCATCCTCCATTTAATTATACAGAAGAGAAATGTGTACATCTGATAGTTAATTTTATGTGTAAACTTGACTGGGCCAAGGGGTACTGATATATGTGGTGAAACATCACTCCAAGTATTTGCTGTGAGGGTATTTTTGAATGAGATTAACATTTAAATTGACTGACTAAATAAAGCAGATTGCCCTCCCTAAGGTAGGTGGGCCTCATCCAATCAGTTGAGGGCCTGACTGGAACAAAAGGCTGAAACTCACTAGAATAAGAGGAAATTCCTCCTGCCTGCCTGCCTCTAAACTGGAACATTGTTTTTCTCCTCCCTTTGGCCTCACACTGAAACATTAGCTCTTCCCAGGTCTTGAGGCTGCCAGCAAGGGAATGATACCATAAGCTCTCACGGTTCCCCAGCTTGCCAACTGTAGATCTTGGGACTTGTCAGTCTCCATAATGGTGTGAACCAATTCTTTACAGTAGATCTCTTTCTGTGTTTACATATGTCTTACTGGTTCTGTCTCTCTGGAAAATGCTAATACAGAACCTGAGCAAAAAACCATAGTTCTTGGGTCAGCCAGCTTCTGAGATCTGAGGATACCCACCATCCCTTGCCCCCAAAGTGCTGTCCATCAACCTGCCTTCAGGAGGAAGAGCTGGAAAGATGAGGTAGGATGGAACTCCATCAGGGCAGCTGGGAAATTGGTCACATCTCCCCTGCTTGCATGCAGGAAATGGAGTCCTTTCTTCAGGCTCCTTGGCAGCCCCATGAGCCCAAGTGCATGGCACAGTCAGATGCGGGCTGAGCTTCATTCCTCCACTGGCCTGGTGGGGTTGGGGGAAGAGGCCTGGATGCAGAGCAAGAGATGAGGCTCTGGGCAGCATCTCAGAAGAAACAGGCCTGGAGGGGATGGTTCCGGAGCACTTTACGGGAACGGTTTTATCTGTGAAACTCCAAAAACTCCTCTTGTGTCAAATCCCTGTTGAAAAAGTAGGTTCAGTCTCTATGTTTTATAATTCACTGCTAAGAACCCCATTAAACCCTCCAGGAGCATTCACTGAACAGATCATAACAGGAAGAACAGCTGATCCTCTTCCGAGGCCTTCAGGAAAGACCTAGAGTGGGAGACAGTTCCAACTGAGTCTTGAGGGATAGTCCTAGTGGACGGGAAATAGTCTAGTTGATTTTTAGAGGCATTTTGGCAAAAATGTATAACCCTCGTGGGTTCTGGAAACCTGTCAAATAAAAGACATCCCCTTACATAGGATGATCTCATTTAACGTGGAGTTACACTTTGCACTGCTGTGGAAAGGAATCACATCGGAGGGAAAATAACAGCCACAGCGGAAGGTTGTCATTCAGCGTTTTGGAGACAAGGGCCAGGACATCACAGAAGGAAGGCTGGCTGGAGGGACGGGGGGTTCATTCTCTCCACAGCTCCCGCCGAGCACCCACTGTGTGCTGCCCTCGGAAAGTGTAGCGTCTTGCAGGAGAGGCGCGGTGCGTCTGCATGATCTGGAGCTGGAGACAGAATAGGCTAAGTGCCCGGCCAGCGGGGCCCAGCGGACAGAGAGCTTGCGTGGAACCAGCGGACAGAGAGCTTGCGTGGAACAGCAGCTGCGAGGTACCAGCTTCTGAGGCAGAATTCGCCAAAGCAGCAAGCGCTCCCCTGCTCTGGTGGACCCGGGCCTGATCCTGGGACACCTGACAGCTGCCAGGCTATGGGCTTCTGCTGAGAAGGACTGCGAGTGTTTATGCAGGAAGAAAGCCTACCCTTCCAGGCCCTGGGCCCTTCTGCCCAGAGATAAAGACATCTGAGTTTTTGAGCATCTGGCAGATTCTTTTGCATTTCCTCCTTCTCTTAGAGTCCAAAAGCAGCTCTGGGACCCGTCCTCGGGAGCGGGAACCTGGCAGAGCCAGCCGCCTCCTCTTGCCTCAGCCCTTCAGCTCTCTGCCGTGGCCTCCATGGAAGGACATGGCCCCTCATCCTCTCTGGGGAGCAGGTTGGGGGCCTGTTCGAGCAGAGGAGTGTGGTTACTTTGTCCTGGGCCTCTCACGGATCTTACCTCCCACCCCCCGCCCCTGGTTTGAAGTCCTCTGCACCTCCATTCCCCATCTGCATCCTCTCCTGGGTACCATGAGGAACCCTCTGTGGAAACGGGTCAAAGCTTTTACTGTGGGCCTGAGGCCAACCCGGCTGGCGGGGGACAGATGAAAGGCCTCCCTGGAGGGGTGTGGCCATGCTGCTTGGGGCATTCTGGGGTAGCCTGTGTGTCTTTCATGTCTTGAGGATGTGGGAGCCTCCCGGGGGGAAGCTGGATTGTGTAAGTCACATACCAGGGACCTTCGGGCGCCTCAAGTTGTGTAACTGTACTCCATGCTTTTCACTTCTCTGGACTTCTTGATTTGGTTTTCTGTATAAATACTTCACAGCTGTTTTTTTTTTTTTTTAAGTTTTATTTATTTGGGGGGGGAGCAGAGAGAGGGGGGAAAGAGAGAATCTCAAGCAGACTCCTTGCTGAGCACAGAGCCTGATGAGGGTCTCGATCTCACGACCCTGAGACCATGACCTGGGCTGAAACCAAGAGTCAGACACAACGGAGCCACGCCAGAGCCCTGATCTGTCACGTCTGCCTCAGAGTGGCTGCTCACCGTCTCAGGGAAGGGGTGGGGAGGGATGAAGGCAGTTATTTTTTTCTTCTGTTCCCCTCCACTCTCCCCCTGCCAGGTTCAGGCCCCCCAGTGCTCTTCCTGGCCACGAGGAGGGAGACTGCCTGGGGGGTGGACATCCCAGGAGGACACAGGGCAGTAGTGAGCCTTCTCCTCCTTTCCCACCAGCCCCGGGCACGGCCCTGGCGCTCTGCTCTCCTCGCCCCTCCTCCCAGGCCTTTTTCCCTTCTGAGCTTCGGAAGACCATCGTAAACGCGTCGGCCTAGTAGCAACTAGTTTTTCCTTCTTTCTCACCCCGTTTTCTGGGAAGCTGGACCCGTTAGCTTCTATTCTAGGAAGCCCACAAAGGTGGAAAAGTCAGTCTTGGAGAGCGAGTCCTTTAGAGGGGGGCTGCTTTTGGTTTTATTTTGGATTTCTTCTGGGATCCTGGGGCCTAAGGCTCAGAAGTTTCCTCTTGCCTGGCGACACGTAGGTCTGTAAGCCTTGTTCCGTCATTGGGCGCTGCAGCTGTCTTGGTGCCAAGAATGTCTAACGTGACCCTGTGGGAGGCAGGGGGAGGGGGACTTTGAGTCCCTGGGGTCAGGAGTACTGGGAGATCTTGTTCTGCATCTGGGTCAGGGGCCTGTTGGTGGGCAGCAGGCCTCCTTCCATGCGGAGACCAAACCGATGGACAAGGAAGGGAGATGCTGCCGTGTGGTTGGCTAACAGCGGAGGGCGCAGAGCAGTAAGGAGGCAGTTTTCCTGCGGACGGTGTGGGCTTCCTAAAGTCGGTCTTCCAGAAGGGCTCCCACCGCTTGTGAGGCATCTGCTGTCGGCAGTGGGGAGAGCAAAGTCACCTGCCTGCCAGTGGTTTCTCATTAAGACACAATTAACTGGTTCACGTGGGGCATGGTCGTTGCGGAAGATTGACTGCACGCACTTAGAGGCGGTGTACCGTCTGGGCTGTCCCAGTAACTGGGTACAGAGATCCTACCTTGAAACCAGCAGAAGGAGGATCCTTAGAGACACCCTGGGAGTTTCATCCAAGTCAAAAGGCCTGGGTCCCACCCTGGTAGCTGGAGTCAATGAAAGCAGGAGAACAAAGAACCAATTAAAGAGCTGGTCTGCGAGGTTAAGACTGGGTCTGGGCTCGCTCAGCCACATACTCTTGCCACAGCCATGCACTGGAGCCTAAGACTGTCTGAGTTTCAGCCCTGAGAGCCCATGTCCCAGGAACCCCGGGACTGTTGGTCACCCTACTTCTCTAAGCCAGGCTTTCTTTCTCCATAAAGTGAAGGAGTTGAATAAAAGGCCAAGAAGGGCCTTTGCATTTCTAATACTATAACCTGAACCCCCTCCCTTCCTTGTCCAATAACAGAACCTTCTAAGCCCCTTCCATCTGTGACTCTAGGCTGGCTCCTCCTGGGCGGAGGTCACCGTGCACGTATGACATTAGGCAGACGGTTCACCCCCGATCTACAAGCTGAGTCCACCACCCCTTGTAGAATCGAGTCTCCTCCAAAGTGGGTGAGGTGCGAGGGCAGCACCCCGAGGTTCCCTAGGGAACAGCAAAAGAGACAGCAAACACAGTGGTGAAGGACACATAGCACGTTTCCGTCCCGTCATGCTGGTGACCCGGAAACCCTTGGGGCTTGAATGGCTTCAGCGAGTGAGGCCTCGTGCTTCAGTTCAAGGCCATAGGAGGTGGGCAGGGACCTGGCAGAGGCCATGCCAGGCTCATGTCTCCGATCTCCCTCTGTGGGGTGGTCCTGGAGTGTCCTGGCGGGCTCTAGTCACAGGGGCTGTGATTGGAACAAGCCAGATGTCAGAGCAGAAGCATGTCTACCATTAAAGGGGTAACAGCTTTGAATAAAATAACTGCCAGCTGCCTTCTGACCCATATTCTAGAAAGTGTGAGACTGTGTGATTCCAGGAGGGCTTTCTCCAGAGCCCCGGGGCCCTCCTTGGTGTGCTGGAGGCCCACTGGATTCCCAGACAGCCAAAGCCGATGCTTGTATAGCTGAGGTCCAGCGATGGCCCATTTGCTTTGCAAGCCACCAAAGATGGGGTCTGCCCTTATACCCTTTGGCCCATTGTAACCAGAAAGAGACCACCTGCCTTCCATCCTCTGATAGTTTTCAGAGTTTGGGGGCATCTTCCCCTTCATGCTGCTCAGTTCTGGGCCCAGGAAGTCCCAAATGAAAGAGGCCCAGGGCCCAGAGAGCCCTGCATTTCCCAAAGGCACCCATACATTTTCTTTGCCCCTCCACCACGTTTGGGGACCCAGGGGTCACCCCGTCACCACTGAGTGTAAGCCCTGCAGGGGAATTTCCCAGACAGACTCTGAGTGTCCCTTCCTGGAGGGCGTCAGCGCAAGGTGTGTGAGTGTCCTCAGAGTGGTCCCGCCTCTGTCTTCCAGGCAGGCCTGGCCTCCCCGGAGAATGCCGAGCAGCTCATCATCGCCTTGGAGCCCGAGGCGGCCTCCATCTACTGCCGGAAGCTGCGGCTGCACCAGATGATCGAGCTGAGCAGCAAGGCCGCGGTCAACGGGTACAGCTCCGGTGACGCAGTGGGAGCTGGGTTTGCACAGGGTACCTCTGCTCTCTCTCTCGCCTCCCGGCTCACTCCCCTCCGCCCCTGCATGGTTCTCGGCCCTGATTACCGAGAGGCCCTTAGCACTGTAAGGAAGGATCAAAATGCTCCGGAGAGGTCAACTCTAAGCGCCTCTGTCCTGGCCCCCTGACCTGGCCTCCCCGGGCACCCTCGGAAGCTCTGCGGTAGTTCCCCGGGGTCCTCACCTGTGCCTCGGGCAGGGGGAGGATGCTTGTCTCTAAGCACCTGGGGATGGCCGCAGAGAGCAGCTCTTGGTTCTTACATTTTACTAGGTTCTTAATTTTTCTTGTTTATTAACTGATTCTTAATTGAATCCCACTTGTCCATTATTAATTCCTCCATTAAGACTGTTGATTTACTGCTGACTCACTCATTAGGACCGCTTCGTGTATGGTGAGCTCATTCTGGGTCTTAGCCATGAACCTGGCAGAGTTTAAAACACAGATGATCAGCGCTGAGGCTTCCTGACCTGGCTGATGCTCATTTAGCTGTGAGAGGGGGACCACCTGGGGGGCTGGGATGGGAACTTCTGCTATTTAATATTTACCTGTGTGCAAGCTGGTCACAGCGTTGGTCTTCAGATCTGACACCCTAGGTCAGGGACAGAGCCACCAGCATGAGTGAGCACAGGCACTAAGGGGAGTGCTGTGGGTGCTGTTCCCAGAGGAGGGCCTCAGGGCCAAAAGCCACCCATCCCATGCCCACCCCATCCTGGAAGGCCCAGAGGAGAAGGAGAGGGGGAGAGCGATATCGAGAACTGCCACCCCCTGCCCCCACAACCCCCCAGCCTGGGTCCAAGTTTTCCTTGGTCCCCACACCGAGGCCTGTCTCTGCTCCGCCCATGGCATTGGGCCCAGGTTTCCCCTTCTCAAGGCCCGGCAACCTCTCCTCCAGAATTCTCCTCTTCCTCTCCACACGGTCACTCTGCTGCCCCAGGCTGCGGGTGTGTGTGTGTGTGTGTGTGTGTGTGTGTGTAAATTCTAACACCTCCCACCGAACTCACCTGTGGCCAATGAGAGACACTGCCCTTCCACTGAGGGCATGATTTGCCTTTTTTATTTTTGGCCATGCTTGGCCTCCCCCAAAACAGGCAGAGGCTAGCCTTCCTGCCAACTAAATCAAAGGTATTAACATTTTAAATACTCATGATGACATTTATTTACATTTTAATCGGAAAAGAGACCCAGGACTGACTGGGCTTTCCTGCCTTGCATGTGAGCTGTTACTGGTTCTCTCTCTCTCTCACACACACACACACACACACACTCACACTCAGGTTGGAATTAACTAATTGTAGCGCAGCTCTTCTTCATACGTCCTAAGTGTAACACTCACATTTGAAGGGGAAACTGTTTTCGAAAGCTAGCCTTCCCCGAGAGCTCAGTGTGGGGGTTCCTTTCCTTTAACTTTTTATTATTACTATTTTTTAAAGATTTTATTTATTTATTTGACAGACAGAGATCACAAGTAGGCAGAGAGGCAGGCAGAGAGAGAGGGGGAAGCAGGCTCCCTGATGAGCAGAGAGCCCGATGCAGGGCTCTATCCCAGGACCCTGGGATCATGACCTGAGCCGAAGGCAGAGGCTTTAACCCACTGAGCCACCCAGGCACCCCTCTTTCCTTTAACTTATCCTGCCCACCCGCACATTGCTCCGCGTCTGTGTCCTGTGCCTTGTGGAATTTTCTCTGGTCTTGTGCTCAGAAGGTCTCTTGGGTTTTTGAAATGCTCGCACTGCTGGGCACCACCCCTCAGAGGGGCAGAGAAGTAGGGGTTCCGGCTCAGCCTTGTCTTGTAGTTACGGCCCATCTCCCGGAAGGAGGGGGAGCTGCCTGGGGAGGCCTGGCAGAGCCCCTAACCAGAAGTTCCCTGGATGGCATTGGGGCCCCGAGTGCTCCCTCCTCGCCGTTCTCTGCCCTCTGCTGCTTCTCCATGATGGATGCCCAGTGGACACTACTGAGGGGACTGGGGCTGGCCCTCTGCCCCCAACACCACGGGGTTGCTCTCCACATTAATTTGCACCAAAAGGATTTCATAAGATCAGTAAAGGATCTGTGTTTTTTGGGGGTTTTTTTGTTTGTTTTGTTGGGTGTTTTTTTTTTTTTTATAATCTCAGGCTTAATTTGCCAGAAAACGTGATTTTTGGTTGTTTTGTTTTGAGAGGTCAGAATATGTTTTATTAGTCTGGCTTGGCCATTTTTAAATGAAAGACATCTAGATTGTTTTAGCAAACCAAATGCTCGCTGTGAGGTCTGCAGTAGAAGTTCATCCGGAGCCAGTGCTGGGAACAGGAGAGAAGCCCTGAGTTTGAGGATCCCTCCCAGGCCGGCAGAGACGCTAACCAGGACGACCTCACCCCTGGACATCAGGGCCCGAAGGACTTCAGAGCTGACTGGCTCTTCGCATTCTAATCCCCAGAGAAGACGCAGTTTTGCAAACAGGGTGCTCCTTGCTAGAAGAGGCTTGAGGGTCAAGGGTCCTTAATTAGATAACCAGCCACAGACGGATTTGTAGGACAATTCAAAGTCAACAGCACCAGTTTAAGGACTAGAAAAATTGGTGGTGGGGGCTGGGGCAAGGTTGTGGGATGGGGTAGCAGAGCAGTGGACAGAGCCTTTATCTGTAAAATTGGGGGCTGTTCTCAATTGTTCATTGTAGTGATCGTTTGTTGGGTACTGGCTCTCAGACTTGGTGTTTTGCCTTCCTTATCACCTACTGTGGTGTGCCCGGCGTTGCACAGTGCTGGGATGAAATCAGAGAATCAGGCCCTGCTCTGCCTGTGAGGAACTTAGGTCAAGTGTTATTTTTTTTTTTTTTAAGATTTTATTTATTTATTTGACAGTCAGAGATCATATGTAGGCAGAGAGACAGGCAGAGAGAGAGAGATGGAGAAGCAGGCTCCCACTGAGCAGAGAGCCCAAAGCGGGGTTCGATCCCAAGACCCTGAGATCATGACCGGAGCCGAAGGCAGAGGCACCACTGAGCCACCCAGGAGCCCCTCAAGTATTATTATCCCCATTTTATGGATGTGGAAACCAAGACCCGCTTAATCAAATTAATCACTTAATTAAATTAAGTGATTTGTCCCAACTGGGTACCTTAGCTGTGCCCCGATGATCTCCAGATACCCTCTCAGAGCACCTTGCTCATCTCTTAGCATTCGTGTTCTGCTTTTTTCACTGTAAATTGTTAAATCTCAAAGGCATGATGGTGCATGGTCCCAGGGTGGACTTGGAGCTGCGAGACAGTGGTGGGAACTGTAAACCCCTTAACCTGTTCTGACCAGGTTTCCTCCTCTAAACAGAAGGACGATGATTTGTGCCCTGTCTGCCTCCCAGGGCTGGCCTGTGAGAGATGCAGTCACCCCGCGCAAAGCGTCACAGCCACTAAGTGGCCTGAGCCACAGCCCTGTGGTTCCCCAGAGTTAGGAAAAAGGCCGCCAGGGCTTTGCTGGGTTCAGAGGGGCCGCCCTGTGGCTGAAGCGCCACCTTGTGGCGGAAGAGCAAACTGCCTGCGCCGGGGTTGGGAAATGGCTCCAGTCCCCTTTATCCAGGATCCAGATTAGGAAAACATACCCGACATTCCTTGCATCAGACAGAGTTCCTTGAGGTGAAGCTATTTAACCAAGCGCACTGCTAGCTACTTGGCAGACAAGTTCCTCCCTGGGACAGCAAAGCCAGGAATCTGGTCGAATTATTAACCCCTTCCCCCCAAACAGTGTCCAGGGAGGAAGGACTTCTTTTCCAAGGCGGCTGCCATGCAATGGATAGATGGAGGCTGGTGGAAATGGTCTGGCTTTGTGTTACCCGATGTCGTATTTATGTAACCATTTTGGTTAAGTATTGCTAAATGTTCTGTCCTTAAACCTTCTCATGCTGTTGCCTCCACTGACAGCAGATGACTGCCTGCTTTTTCATGCTTTCTTACCCGTCATTTTCGTTTTGTCGGCCACTAGCTAAGGAACACATACGGCGTAATCGGCAGAGTCGGACCTTTTTGGTGGAGAATGTCATAGGAGAAATCTGGTCGGAGCTGGAGGAAGGTAGTGTCCTTGAATGTCCTTTGCCCTTTGCTGGATTTGTTCTGTATGCTGCCGGCAAACATGCATTCCTGTTGGTTCCTTTGGCACTTGGGGAAGATGTTCGGAATCAGGTGGTTGTAAAGACCACCCGCCCAAGGAGAGCTCTTTTGGAGCTATAATTCTGCATGTTATAAAACCATACAGGCTCTTTAGAAGCGAAGTGGGAATTGGGACTGTCCAGCTCCGGATTAAGTCTTGTGTTAAACAGGAGGTCATTTTATGGCGCTCTAACCTTGGCTGGCAGTTGTCTGCTTGTACATGCCAGGGATGCAGCGGCATGTGGCAGGAATGCTTCCGTCTTAAAGATCCCCTCATCTAGGTTCTTTATCGTCCCTGGTAACCGGCACTCCCGGGCAGACATCACTGCATTCTCTTCAGTCGCAGACAACTTTGCTGTGCAGCTAAAGTGCAAAACCGTCGTGCTCACGAGAAGTGTTGATGGGTGTTGAGCTGGGAATACCAGGATGGGGCTGACAAGCGGTCTGTGTAAAGGATGGCTGTCTTTGTCCCAGGTGACAAGTATGTGGTCGTGGACAGTGGCGGGGGCACCGTAGACCTGACCGTCCATCAGATACGGTTACCGGAGGGACACCTGAAAGAACTGTATAAAGCAACAGGTGAGCCCCGGCATGGCTGATTTTCTCATTCCTGACAATTCTCTCTTGTCAGTTTTCTCTTGGTACTTCCTCCTCTTGGTTTGCTCCCGGCACGTGGGGTTCTAGGCCCGAGAGGGTTCCTGAGTGGAACTGAGGAGCAAAACGCAGTTAAATGTTCTCTAAAACACAAACCACCATAACTTGGGTTTTGGCATAAAATGAGCCTGTTTTAGATCCTAGACATGGGAATTTTTTTTCTGAAAGTTCTGGAAGGATCTGATGGTCCCCTGATTATCACCTGTGATTTCATGCTATGGTTAAGCTTTCTAGGGAGGTCTCGGGATACCTGGTCTTGGATCAAAGCAAGCCACAGGCTCTCTGCCTCAGTGGGGGGTGGGAGGATGAGTCTTTAACAGATCCGGGGATCTAGGTGGGCCTACTAATTTTCAGACCCTGTCCTTAGATTTCTTGGGTCGTAATACTGTGATGCTCCTACTTAGTTATATGTATCCATTTTATTTAACATGAAGTGGTATTATGGGGCTCCCGACTGGCTCGGTCAGTAGAGCATGAGACTCTCCAGCTTGGGGTTCAACCCATGTTGGGTATAGAGATGACTTAAAAATAAAATCTTTAAAAAATAAAATAAAATGTAATGGATTTTGAACAGCTTGTTGACAGGTAATTCTGTAGGAAAAAGTTTCTCCACCTGGTAGGAGAAGAACCTAAGGGTTTTAAAGCAGAAGTAAAAATTCAGAGCTGCAGTCTGTTGGCGAACTGGGTCTACGTCGCACTACTTGGAGTTTCCGAGAAGAACACATAGTACGCAGTTGCCCAGAGTTTGGATTCAGTCTGGCAGTTTCTAACATGGCGGGCTTTTGTTCCTTTTGTTCCTGACCCAGGCGGACCCTATGGATCCTTAGGAGTAGATTATGAATTTGAAAAACTTCTGTGTAAAATATTCGGAGAGGATTTTATCGAACAATTCAAAATCAAGCGTCCGGCGGCCTGGGTTGACCTAATGATTGCATTTGAGTCTCGTAAAAGGGCAGCTGCCCCAGACCGAACTAACCCACTGAACATCACCCTGCCCTTCTCCTTCATCGACTACTACAAGAAGTTCCGTGGGCACAGCGTGGAGCACGCCTTGAGGAAGAGCAAGTGAGTTGGACTCACCAATGGCTTAAGCCATTCTAGAGGGTGGGTGGTGTTGATGGGAGGGAAGAAGCGGGTGTAGACTCTGCCTTCCAGTCCTACAGAGAAGCTGTTTGACCTGGGGCAGGTGACTCAACCTCTCTGTTCTTCAATTTTGCATCTGGAAAACGGAGATGATGGTTCCACTTACCTCAAAGGGTTGTCGTGAGGATGAAGTGAATTCATACCTTAGGCACTTAGCACAATGCCTGGGACCTGGAAAGTACTATGTGTGTGTGTTAGCTTTTATTAGGTACTAATAATTAAGTTTTGTGAAAGCAGGGAATTTTGTGGGTTTTGGTCCCTGCTGTATCCCCAGTATCTGCACCAGAATCTGGTATAGACAGAGCAGGTTCTCTGTAAATTTTTGTTGAACGAATCCCGTGGGATTCTGGGTTTCCTGCTGCCCTGAGTCCCTTGGCTGCAGGCAAGTTTCTGTCGTTCAGCTTGTTGCAAAATGAACATTTCGAAGCTGTTTTAAAGCTGAATTACAAAATGAATAGACAAACATCGTAAGTTTCTCAAAGTCTTTTTAGAGTGAAAAATTTCAAACATTTCCTGTGCAAAATGAACCTTCATGATTCAGCTTCAACAGCTGTCAGTTTCCGGCCAACCTAAATCCTTGTGTACGCTCCCCAAGCATTTTAAAGCAAATCTGATTATCATCTAACCCGTAAATATGTTGGTGCGTATCTCTAAGGGGGGTGATGTTAAAATCATAACCCTGACACTATTATCACTATCACACTTAAAACAAGCCATTCTTCTATATCCTCAAATACCCAGTTAACATTAAAATTTCTCCCATTGTCTTCTAATTTTCTTCAGTTTGTGTTAATATCCAAAAGATGGCTATATGTAGCAATTCTCTGATATGCCCTTTAATATGGAGGCTCCCCCTCTTGTTTTTTCCTGACGGTTTATTAGGTGAGAAAGCTGATTGTCCCATAGCGTTTCCTCCAGTCTGGGGTTTTTGCTCAGTGCACACCCATGTAACATGGTTGGCCTCCTGGTATCTTTTTTTTTTTTTTTTTTTTTTTTTTTAACAAATTGACAGATTGAGCTGGAGATTTAGTCAGAGTCAAGTTTGAGTTTTTGGCAGGCCTACTTCCTGGGGGTAGTATTTCCCCTTACTTCACCTCAGGGAGCACGCACCTGCACGTTTGCTGGTTGTTTCTTTTGAGATGCTAACAGCCCTGGAGGGTTGTTGTCTTGAGAGAAACTCTTCTTCTCAGTGGTTTTGCCCCAACATGAGGACATGACGTTCACATAGGAAAGACAGGATATAGGCTTGGTTCCTTCCTTTCATTTATAAACTTTTTGTTAAAAAATACTGTTGATTTCCCAGCATTCTCCTGAGTGACAAATGCATTTTCTTTCTTTTGTGGGGACACAAGGGGAGTATCGTTAAGATTTCATGGATTTAGGCATAGTTGATGTATATGAAACTCTGGCGGTTTTATCCTGATGGATAGTCAGAATGCCCCATCTTGGCCAGTAGGAGCCCTTCAAGTTGGCTTCTGTGTCCCGTTGATTCAATGTGTTGATCTTCTGGTCTTCTGGTCGGACTTCTGGTTAGAAAAGATGCTCCCGGCTCATCTTGTATATTCCGCATCCCAGACCAGCAATTGGCCATTTCTCTAAGAAGCCTGGGTTCTGTTTAAAGGAAACAAAGCAGATGTGATTTTAGGTCTTCTTGCCCTTGGAGCAGGGTCCTGGCCAGACTCATACTAGGCTCATGTTCTCTCTGTCCACCAGCCACCCCCACAGAGGGGAATTCTCCAAGTTGAATCTCAAGTCTGCTCACACAGTGCTGGGGCCTGTCAGCTCTCCTTTGGGGAAGACTGGCCACAACCAGCCACCGGGTCATTCTACACCATCCCACACTGTCCTACGGCCGGGGCCGCAGGAAGGCTGCCTGGTCAGGGAGCCCAGCAGCATCTCGACTGTGATGCTAGGAAGCAGCTGATGCATGCTTTGCTTTACGGAGAGAGACACCATTCTCTTGGCCTCTTTGAACTTGAGAAAGGGCTGGTACGTGCAGTAATAAACAGTCTCTGGCATTCCTTTAGTGCCAGAAAGTTTCCAAAGTGTTTTCACAGACATGGTATTGAACTTCATCTTCACAACAACCCCTGTGAGGGGGATAAGACAAGTTGTATTATCCTTGATTTCCAGACCAGAGACTAGGGCTCAGAGAAAAGGCAACCCAACTTGCCCCAAAAGTCCCATAACCTCTGGGCGGTGGAGGCCATCCTGGAGCCCAGCGATCCTGACTCCCAGTCCAGTGCTCTTTCTGTTCCAAGCCATTGCTTTGGATTCTGCGCCTTTGACGGAGAAGGGGCATCCCGGTAGGCTTGGGCTCATCACTGTCATGGGACAGGTGCCTGCGGGGCTGAAGGGAATGCACCTGAGCCCCCAGGCTCGTGGCCTCATGCAGCACAGTGGACGCACCCTGTGAGCCTTTAATGGACTCGAATCGGACTATTGCTCGATTAAAACATGTGGTCATTCAAACGAGAAAGACCCCTTTCATTCTTTCCCTATCTTTTGCACTGGACTTTGGCTTCTACCACCCCAAGGGAAGGTTGGCCACAGCACGAAGCAAAGAGACACGGAAGAGGCTGAGTCTTAGCTTTTGCGCACGTAAGGGTCCAGGTTCTGGCGGTTGAGGATATTTCTGGGGACTTTGGAGCCCTTCTGCTCCCTCCAGTGTGACAGCTCTTCTGACAGGGCCCGTCTCTGTGCACCTAGACTGGGTATCGTTCTCACACTCACTGCTTATTTCTGTCTGTGCCACATCCCCGCAGTGTGGATTTTGTGAAGTGGTCCTCACAAGGGATGCTGAGGATGAGTCCAGATGCCATGAACGCGCTTTTTAAGCCCACCATTGACAGCATCATTGAGCATCTCCGTGAGTATCAGCCAGTGCTCAGCCACTCAGTGGGGCAGAGCCAGGAAGGGGGAACGGGCTTTTCTAGCATCACTAGCTAGTGTGTGTGAAGTCAGACTGGCAGGGGGTCTGGGACTGGGAGGCACAGGTTGGGGCCTGGGCAGGGGCAGACGGGGCCTGGGTATGTGTGTGGGAGCTTTCTGGATACAGGCTTTCCAGATGCTTCCCCGCAGGTACTATAAAGCAGCCCAGAGCCTGTCTTCACCTTGGCCTTGAGTTTGACTTCAGAAGTCGGTGCTGGGAGCTCAGCAGCATTATTTTCCTGGAGTGACAGGGCCTAGGGAATAGATTGTCTTTGCCTGGTCAGGACGCCTTAGGGTCTGTAATCTTTGCTGGGAAGGAGGACCAGCCATGTGGGCCATGGAAAGGTCTCCTGAAAGGGGGCAAACATTCTGGCCGTGTGGTTATTTTTCTACCTCCATGGCCCTCTCTTGGGGACATGCAGGAGACTCACTGGGGACCTTTTTTAATATCCCAGCCCGCCATCCACTTCCTACCCCACACCTACCAAATCAGAACCCCTTTGAAAACCAAAGGATGGTTTTTAGAACACCCTTCCATGACTGCCTTCAGAGGACCCCAGGCGGGGAGAATGTTGGGAGTCTTCATCTATGCCCAATAAATTACTACTTCAAATCGTCCCCATCTAGCCATAAAAATGAGTTTCTACTTATCAGCAGCTTTGGTCATTATTCCTGAGCGTCCTGGTGTGCAAACCCCAGACCAGCTCTACAAAGCTTTGGTCCCACCAGCTCAGCCATATCTGTCTCCCGGGGGCCCAGGGGGGTTGGTCTATTGCCCCCCATTCTTGGGGCCACCAGTCCCCCTAGCCAGCTGGCTTTGGGTGCCAGAACGTTGTCCCTTCCTCTTCGTTCTCAGGGGACCTGTTTCAGAAGCCCGAGGTGTCCACGGTCAAGTTCCTCTTCCTGGTGGGAGGCTTTGCCGAGGCACCCCTCCTGCAGCAGGCAGTGCAGGCCGCCTTCGGAGACAAGTGCCGCATCATCATCCCCCAGGACGTGGGCCTCACCATCCTCAAGGGCGCCGTCCTCTTCGGCCTGGACCCCGCCGTCATCAAGGTGCGCCGGTCGCCGCTCACCTACGGGGTGGGCGTGCTGAACCGCTACGTGGAGGGCAAGCACCCGCCTGAGAAGCTGCTGGTGAAGGACGGCACTCGCTGGTGCACCGACGTCTTCGATAAGTTCATCTCTGCCGACCAGTCGGTGGCCCTGGGGGAGCTGGTCAAGCGGAGCTACACCCCGGCCAAGCCCTCGCAGCTGGTCATCGTCATCAACATCTACAGCTCCGAGCACGACGACGTGAGCTTCATCACCGACCCGGGGGTGAAGAAGTGCGGCACCCTCCGCCTGGACCTCACGGGGACCAGCGGCGCTGCCGTGCCCGCCCGGAGGGAGATCCAGACCCTCATGCAGTTCGGGGACACAGAGATCAAGGCCACGGCCGTGGATATAGCCACCTCGAAGAGCGTCAAGGTTGGGATTGACTTCTTAAATTACTAACAGGTCTGCCCCACCCCACCGCCTGCCCTCCCTGGGACTCCGCTCCCCTGCATCCGCTGACCTCAACCCTGACTGTTCTTTCTCTGTCCTTGACCCTCAGCATTGCCCACCTGAATTTCAGCAGGGAAGATGGGAACCACTAGGGCTAAAAAATGATTAGGGATTTTTGAGGGCACACTGGAGTCAGAAAAAGCTGTCGGAAATGGAGCTTGAGGTTTGGGAATAAGAATTTTGAGGATCCCGGGAGAGCAGCTGGTTTCCATAGGTACCCAGTGGTGAAACAGCCGCCCGACACAGGGGTTCAGCCCGTTTCTGTAGCAGCCACTCAGCTTGCTTTGAACGGATCTCTGTTAGGGTGCCCTCGTCTATTTGAGACTTTCTACGTTTTTTGGATGGCAGTCAGTTTAAAATGCTGTCCCTCTGCAGTTCATTTCTTTTTGTCCTCACGTGATGAGAAGCGAGGACTCAGTGGGAGCTGGGAGCCTGTTCACCCGGCGGGAGAGGCCTGCCCACGCTGGGCACTATTTTAGAGTCTCATAATTTCCATTCTGAATAGGTTCAGGGAGGAGTTAAATATCGCCTGAGCTAATCTGCGAGGATTCCAGTGAGTGGGAGAGCTGACAACTTCACTTTTCAGCAGGTGAAAGCTTGCTTGGAGGGAAATGGTATTTAGGCGCTGCTGATTTATCCCAGATCATCTGCTATGGCATCATTCCCTGATGCCAGATCCTGATTTCTGAATTCATAAATAATTCAAGTCATCCTTGGGAGGCTTCTGTGCGGGGAAATGGGCGTGCTGTTTGCCTTGTTCCCATCCCCCAGCCCAGGAGTCTGGAACAGCCCCTCACCTTGACAAGGGTCCATATTTTAAATTAAGTACCCCCTCACCCTCATCTCCCAAAGAGTTTTGTCCCCACAGTACCACATTTCAAAAAGAATACATTGGTGATACATGGGTAGAGAGTCTGTACTATAAAATCTTCATTTTTTAAAGCTTAACTAAAAGAATTCATCGTCTATACATGACGAATTCAGCCAGGTCTTTCCAAAGCTGATCTGTGGGCCCCCCTCCTGAGAACTGCCTGAATGCCTCTTAAAAGCAGGTTTCTGGATCCTATTCCTTTTACAAATTGAAGTCAAGTCTTGGGGGATTGTGGGGGACAGGATTTGCATTTTCAGTAGACACCACAGGGGACTGTGGGTCCATGGGAATCTGAGAACGCCTAACTTCAGGTTTTGTTGGAAGCTGAAGTGTACACCAGCCCCTGCAGTCTACCCCTTGGGGAGAGGATTTCCAGGTGAAGAGCCGGGGGTCCTGTGCCCTGCCCTTTGTGAGTGGGGTTGGGGCTCCACGTGGCTTGGGGGTGGTTCTTTTCATCCTCATGCCTGGGCCTGTGAAGGAGGACGGTTGGAAGGGACCTTAAGAGAGCTGGGGAACCAACTGGTGTGTCTGCTGGAACTCACTCCGATTTGAAATCCCTGGAGGCATGCATAATGAATGAAGGGGGGATACACTAAGGCGCTGGCTCCGAAGGCAAGCTGGATTCGCAAATCCATTACCGTGGCCAGTCCGCAGATTCGAAATAGCATTTCCAGTTTCATTGGAACTTGGCTTTCCACACCGCCTGCTGCAGAATTCCCTGCTAGAATGTGAAACACGAACAAGAACACGCCGCTGACCTAGAGGATGCTAGCCACGTCCTTTCACTCCATAGCAGGATTGCACGTCTGGGCACACAGGTGTGTTTGCTGGGGTTCTCTTACTGCCTGCTCTGCTTCAAAAGCTAAATGTTCTGGGTCTTTCTTTGGTGTTGCCAGCCGTACTCTGCAAATAAGACTTCTCAAGTTAGTTATAAGTAATATAATTTTATGTACATATGATATTAGAATATTGTACAGAATCTTTATTTCTACAATGTGCTTTTCTTGTTAAAAAAAAAAGGAGAAATGCTCTTTGAATTTTGTTGATGACATTGCTGCCTTTCTTTTCCCATGGCTTCATTTCTTTAATTGCACTTACTTACCGATTTGCACCTGATACTAAGCTTATGGACTATGTATGTGGGACCGAGCCAGAGTCAGAGGTGCCGAGGCTCCGAATACTCTGGAAAAAGAAAAGGGGGACACCAGCGGGATCAACAGCTTCATCAGACCTTGCTTCCCTCACATCCTTCCCAAAGGCTCACAGTTTATATTGAAAGGAGCATAATCATGTATTGATTTTCCCCTCCAGTCTTTGAAAGCTGAGCATTCTGGTTCTATGCACCACGTGACTGTGCAGAACAATATACGAAAACTCTGTGCGTCCCTGCAGGGGGGTCACCTTCTTCTTATGGGGCAGAGCAGTTGCTCTGATGGTCCGGTGTGGTCTCCATGTGCAGGCCTGTCAGTCCAACAGGGTTCGAGGACGGGATCGAGTGGTGCACAAATCCAGATGTTCCACTCGATTACGTGTACGTATGAGTAATTTAGTGAAGTCTTTTTTTTTTTTTTTTTTTTGCTGATGTAAGACCTTTCCCACCTTGCACTGAGGATATCTCCTTGTCTGATTTCTCTTTAGCAAGTTGGTTGAATTCTGCACATGGCAAGCAGGTGTTGGAGAGGGTGATACCTTCACTGGACTTTGTTCTGGCCCCAGAAATGCAGCCCCGATAGTCAGTCTTCTTAAAGGGACTCCCGCAATCCATCCCTCCTCTCCTTCCTGCCCACGGAAATATTCTAGAATGAGAACACTGGATAAATACACGTGGACACATTTTCTGATCTTAGAAATTTTCTAAAAGGCCTGTTGTCTTGACCATTTCTCAGCCGTCCTTGACATATTATGAGGTTCGTGTTTTCGCAGCAGAACTTTGGAAGGATTGCCTTTCTCAATGCCCTCTGTACACAGCAGGCAGTAGTAAATGCTGAATGCCAGACAAGTCACAGACAAGATAGGAAAGAGAAGGAGACACACAGGCACTCGCCCAGAGTCGGAGATGGAGTCCAGATTGAGTCTGGACTAAGCTTGAGTCCAGATTGCAGAGCCTGCCCGCCCCCTAGGATGTTATTTAGATCAAGTTTAGCTTTTAGAGTCTAGGTCTGGTTAATTGCCAGGGTGGCAAAGAGTCGCATGCGCCCATATAAACAGGAGTCCAAGTGCACTATTAGTCGAAGATCGAATTTCACATTGTAGAGTTGAAGCAGCTGTAAGCTGCGTATTTATGCTGAGAAATGAATAAGTGGATGACTCGTATAAAAGTTGTCCGTTATGTCACACCTCTCATCTGCTTGGAACATGGAACTTTATTCTAAAATATCAGCCATTGGGGTCTTGTTCACTGAAAGATGAATTCACATTCCACGGAACTTTGCAGCTGTTCACGACGTGACGAGATTGTACTGTAAGCTCTGTCTTCACAGATGTCTAATAAAGCAAAACTCTGGATCTCGTGTGGCCCCCAATTTTTTTTTCTGCATATGAATTCGTGAATGGAATTATGGATGCATCATCTCTGATTTCCCCCTCCTCCCTGTCTCACTCAGATGGAGACTGATTTTCAGGTCTTTTCTTAAATGTTGCAAGCTTTTTAAAATTAACTTTCATTCCAACAAGACTGGGTCCTTTGCTGGGAACCAAGGCTCCATCCGTGTTCATGAGCCCCTTTTCCCTCCAAGCTACAGAAAGTGGGCTAGGCAGACAGAAGGCAGAGGAGCTGGGGCGGCTGCTGACCAAGGGTACCACACCCAAATGCAGATGGTTGAAAACAAAGCAGACGCAGACGGGGCTTAGCCCTCCCATCCTAGCAGGCATGCCAGACAGGCTGTCAACTAGAGCCTTGAGTTTACTCCAGGCTCTGTGTCTGGGTCATCCTCCAGAGCTGGCTTTAGAAGCTTCTGGAGAGTCTGTGGTGGAGTGCTGAGGACACCGACGGGGGTTCAAATGGGTCCTTCCTAAGTGGGCAGCTCCCCCCAGCTTTCATCTGAAGTTCAACTCCCAGGAAGTAGGTGTGGGACAGGGGGAGGCTGGGAGAGGCAGGGAAACAAATCTGTTGGAACGTAGTGCTCTTGGGCGATCAGGGGTCAGTTGTAGGCACAGAGCCCCCCTGGTACTAGCTGTCTGGAAAGGCCCTCATTCCCGCTGTCTGGGTCGCAGGTGGGCATCCTGGCTTCAATCCAGTATGATGAAGGCTCAGGCCCCCTTTAGCTCCCCCAAAATGCGGATGATCAGAAAGCAGTATGGCTCCACTTCCCTGGCACCGCCCTCTTCATTTTGGGGCATTACTCCTTTTCTATCCCCCTCCCTGTTCCTGCCCTCTGAAGACAGAGGACTAGGGGGAGGAGTGTGATGGGAAGTCACCACCCACACAGGCCTCTCCTTCCCTCCCAGGCTGCTTGCTGCCCCCTTACAACCCCTCTCTGCCGCTCTGACTCCCGAGAGGAAGGCGGGGTGCCAACCCTCTTACCTCCTGCCCCGCCCCAGGCCGCGCTAGTGTTGGTCAACAGCAGAAAAGGCGGCTTTGACCTAGATCCTCTCACGTAGCTCTGCCTCCAGTTCCAAAACCCAGAGGGGCCCAGCGCGGAGAGACCAGGTACCAAGAATCAGATAGGAGAACAACTTCAGAGGCCAAGTATCTGTTGGGAAACCCCTGAACTTCACGCCCGGGGGCTGACGCTGAGCGGGGATCGCGGCGGGGTCGGGGGAAGGGCCCCCCCATCCATTCGGGTTGATCCAAGGGCCCCCCCATCCATTCGGGTTGATCCAAGCCCCAGGCCGGCCGGGCGTGCTCGCGTCCTGTTTGGGCGGGCTCGCGAGGGGGAGGGGTAGCAGGGAGGGTCCGGCGCCTCCTTTCCCCTTTCTCCCCCTCCCCCGGGGCGCTGGTGAGCGCACAAAGGCCTGGAGCGCTGGCTGACAGGGTCGGCCTGGAGGGCAGGAGGCCTGGCTGGCTGCGTCCGGGATGGTCAAGGTGAGGACGCTGGAGTGCGGCTGCCCCGGGACAGGAGGCGGGGGGGAGGGGGGGGCCGGGAGCTGTGGTGGAGCTTACGGACCCCTCAGGGCCCCCACCCCCAGCACACGTCCTGTCCACGCTCTTCCTCTCCGATTCCACCTCCTCCAGGCAGCTGCCCGGGCTGCCACCCACCCTCACAGGACTCAGCCCCCTCCCCAGGGCCACGCCTTCGGATAACATAGCCCTGCCCTCAGAATATGGATGTCCTGTGTCCGTTCATAGTCCTTGGATGGGAGAGCCCTCAAATAAGTTACTTAGCCTCCCCGTGCCGTTTCCCCTCATCTATAAATGGGAGACAGAAATGGGAACTAATCCTAGGACAGCGAGGGTTTTACAGGAGTGCAGGCCCCTGTCAGCGGTGTTGTAGCAAGTGTCCTGTAAGTGTCTGACTGTGTTTAAAATTCCCACCACTGCTGACTAAACGCGGACGGTGGCCCTCCCCTCCACCCCTGAGACCACCCATCCTGGCCACGAAGACCCCACTTCTGAGAGGTGAATCGACTGGGAGACCTGGCATTGGACAGCATCAGCGGAAGCCCAGGTGCAGGACCTGGCCCTTTGCCGGGACCAGAAGCCATCCCGGAACGGGGATGGGGTCTGGCTGGGGTGGCAGTAGCCACATAAACCAATGCCAGGTGGTCACCCCCCCGCCACCCTCTGCTCACCCATCTTGGACTCCACGCCAACTCTTAGGGACCTCTGAGCCCTTCCAGCCAGAGCTTATTCTAATTCTTCCTTGTGGGGCTGCCCAGTGTCCTGTAGGATGTTTAACAGCATCCTTGGCCTCTTAAGTCACTAGGTACTAGTGGCGCCCCATCCCCCAATTGTGATAACCCAAAATGTCTCTGGACACTGCCCACTGTCCTGAGGGGGGTGATGGTGGGGAGGGGCAGCAGACATCCCCATTGCGACCTTTTACCCCCCGGAGAAAGAAAGGCTCTGGGAGTGGGAGTTCTTCATCTCTTCCCTCTTGGAGGTTTAGGGGTTCACAGGGGGGCTTCTGGGTCCCGCTCATCTTTATGTTCCTAACCACATCGCCATTGTTGGCCACGGTGTGTGTATGGTTCACCATGGCTGGCTGGCCGGCCCGCTGGCTGGAGGGTTGGCTGGATAGAGGAGGTCCCAGGAAGGGAGACGCTCGTGGATGGTGATCAGACCATATGTATGTAAACTCATGTAATAGGGGAACGCCTCTTGTTTTTATAACTGACACCAACTACGCTTGCCGGTTCTGCGTTAAGATGGCGGTGCTGCCTCTCTGTCCCAACCCCCCGGGCAGGGTCATTCTGCTCCCGAGGGCTCTCGCCACACACACAGTGAGTTCCGAGGCAGGGACACTGGATGAGATCATCTCATTCCCTATTCCCTTCATTAACAGCAAGCGGGATCATGGAGTCTTCCAGGACCTTCATGAGACATCTGCCAATCACACCAGGCTACAGTGGTAAGTAGAGATGTGCCACGTGGATCTGCCTGGCAGGGGAACCACGGTCCTGCTTGCCATCCCTGCCCTAGTCCACTGTCTGTGTCCTTCTGACTGGCTGGGCCAGTACGGGCACTTTAGCTTTTTAAGATACTTGTTGAAAACCTCCCTTGCTGAAGATGGCTGATAACTGAGTTCAAACTAATGGAGAGATAGAACTCAGGCCAGGTCTCACAGGATGTGGTTGGGCCTGTGGGAAGCACTTAATGGGTATCAGTGCCTTGGGGCCAAGATAAGGGATAGATGCAATGGATAAGGTCCTTTTTCCCAAGGTGAGATTTCTCAAGTTTTGCACTAGGACTGTTCTTAGGGTCCCATTCCTTCCTGGGTCCCCTAGAGGGAGAATGATCCAAGTGCCCTGATTTGTCTGGAATGGCTCTGGTTTTAGCACTGAAAGTCCTCAGTCCCAGGAAACCCCTAAGTCCTTGGCAAATAGGGATAGCCGGTTACTACCTAAAGGTTCTTGTCCTCAGGCTTCTGGGTTACTGAGAACTTACTTCCTGCATTAAGTAAAAATGTCTATTAAATGGGTGTATTAGTTTCTTAGGCCTGCCGTTTAATACAAAAGATCGTTATCCTCTCCCAGGGCTGGAGGCAAACAGTCTGAAATCAGGTGTCACTAGGGCCATGCTCTCTCCGAAGGCTCTAGAGGAGGGTCCTTCCTTGTCTCTTCCAGTTACTCGTGGCTTCGACTGTTCTGTGACTTACGGCAGCATGGCCCCAGTCTCTGTCCCCGCCACCCCCTGGTCTTCCCACGGCTCTTCTCGTGCCTTCTGCCCTGCACCTCTGTGTCTCTTCCTCAGATCCCCCTCTCTCTTCTCTTATAACAGAGTATTTTCAACAAGTGTCCTAAAAAGCACAAGTGCCTGTTCTGGCCCAGCCAGCTGGCCACACTAGACAGGGGACCAAGACGGAGACAGCTGGATTTAGGGCCCTTCCCCAGACAAGGATAATCTCATTCCCAAATCCTTAATGATGTGTGCAAAGACCCTATTTCCAGATAAGGTCACCTTCATGGGACCCATCGGTTAGGACTGGGACATATCTATTCAGGAGACACAATTTCAGCCCTCTACACAGGATAACGATAGGTCTCTCCTAAGATTGTCCTGGCCCTTAGTAAGATTCTGGGAAGGTAGCTTGAATTCCTCTGTGTGTACATATATACAATTACGTAAAATCTATCCAGGCACCAGGACCCCTCGGTTTCTACGATCTCCCCCAACAACACTAGGGTATCTTTTAATTGCCCCAGGGTTGAGGAGCCTCTCTGATGGGTGGAGGGCTTCGGGAACCGCCTCATAATCAGATTTTTCCAGAAGCGGCTTCTCGCAGGATGTGGGAGGCAGGGTTGCTACTCTTGACTCTGAAATCAGGTTTTCTTGCGGGACACAGGCGAAATGTGGGGCTTTGGTAATGAGCGAGGGGTACTTATTTATTTATTTACCCATCGAAAACCAAGTTCTTAACCAGTTTTTCTTCCTTTTGTGCTTTCAAAAACTAGTTTTATTGTGACAATGGTGTAGGCCCTGGGATTCAGCCTCCAGTTTAAATAAATACTTGTGTTTTACCCATACTAATTGTAATGATTATATGTTATTTTGTGGGAAGTGGTAAAAAATTGTTCTAGGGGATGGGCCCCACAGATAATGAATTTACCTTTTTTTGTGTAATAGGTCTCAGCTTTTAATAAGCCCCGCAATTTCCCGATGGTCCGACAAAAAAAAAGGATCCCAAATTGCATTTGGGAAGTGTCAAGGAAAATAAGCTTTCTCTCTAAAAAAGATGAATAATTTCAATTACTCCTCAGACTATCATTTTGGCCCATTAAATGCTTTCCCCATTTGTGGTTCAGACTGACATCAGGGTCTTTGCTATCAAAGAATATTACTGTCATCGTCTTTGTTGAAATGGGCCTTCCCTCCCCAGCTCCAAGGTCATTTTTTGTGTGTGTGTGGCCTTGGGAGGGCCCAGTGTGGTGCAGACAACAGCACTGCTTGTATTAATGGCCTTTGGGGAAAGGCAGTGCTGTCCGCTGGGGAGGAAATGCCACGGAGCGGGCTGGGACTCTGGGGAGCATCTGTAGGTTCCGACGGCCTCGCTGAAGGCTCCCATTCGTCGGCTCTTGCAGGCTTTGTGCCCTACCTCAGCTGCCAGCAGGCCACCAGCAAGGACAGCATGGCCCACTGTCTGAAGATCTTCCAGGAGATCACACAACGCTATAAAAACCAGATGGAGGAATTTCGTTGCTCGGTAGCCACTGCCCGGAGGCTGAAGCCCGTCTGCTCCGAGGAGACCGTCCTGCGGGCGCTGCACCAGTATTACCGGCAATATCACCCCCTGTGTCTGGGTACCAGCCCCCCGGAAACCAGTCCCCTTCTACTGGGGCCCAAGTGCAGGGCCCAGCAGGCCCACTGGGCCGGCCCAGGGAGCAGGGAGTCCAACCCACTTCCAAATCCCCAGGCGGTGTGGTGCAAGACGGAAAGGCTTGGTTTCATCCAGTGAGAAAGAAACATCTCCTGGGGGAGAGAGGGACCTGGTCCTGGTCAGGCCAGAGGGTGCTGTGAACGGAGACCCCCTTCCCCCTGCATGTGGCCACTATCGCTCAGACCGCACCTGCTGTCTCAGGATGGACGCTCTGGGGTTGCTTTCTCTGTGCTGGGCACCATTATTTCATGAGGTCAACATGATTATTCCCATTTTAGAGCTGGGGAAAGTGAGGCTGCGAAGGTAATGGCCCTTGTCTGAGTGAGGTTAGACCTCAGCTGGAATCCAGCTGTGGCAGGCACTGGAGAACAACCATGATAACAATGACAAAACCAACTTCTGATGTGATTCTATAAGGCTAACACAATGATTTGTCCTGGACCGTTCTTAAGGTCTAAAGATCTATAAGAAAAGTAATGGACTCCAGAACTGTCTTTATTATTAGAACTATAGTTGTGGGACGGCTAACCACACATTTGTTGTGCTTGAAAGTTTTCCGAATCATAACAAAGAGCATCTGCCCAAGAGTTTGAGATTTCGCCCAGCTCTGTGACTGTTTGCTGTGTGAACTATGACACATTGCCTCCCCTCTCTGGGCTGTAGTTCCTTCCTCCAGCGCAGGGAAGGATGGATTAGATGCTTCCCATAGTGCCTTCTGGCTCTGAGATTCTGGGACTCAGTGGCCTAATTCTATTCTGACCGCAACTGGAGGAGGCAGGCAGACAGGAATCTTTTATCTCACCAGTGGGAATTGGGCCGGGTCAGCCAGTCAGAGTCGTTCATGACCTGAGGCAGATTCCTGGTGCTGAGTCTGATGTGCTTTCTTCTGACCTGGATGCTTCTCCTGCTTCTTTTCTGTAAACTATACAAGAGGCAATGTGTGAAGCTTTTTTTTATTAATCTGAACGAGGAGCAGGATCTGTTGAAGACAAAGAACCTGAGACTCAGACAGGTGCAGGTTTGAAGCTTGGTCCTACCACCTCCTTGCTGGGTGACCATGACCAAGACTCTTAACCTCTGCAAGGCCTCCATGTCCTGTTCATAAGGTGGAGTCAATAATGGTGTCAGCCGTCCCAGTGTGTGAGAGAAGGAGCTCCGAGGGTATTTGAAAAGCCCCTATCCAGGTGCCTGGCTCACAGAATCAACCAACCAGGGGTAGCCGCTCTGAGGGCCTCTAGAGGCCTAGCGGCTCACCGGGGTAGCTGTAGGGGTGCAGGCTACCTGGGGAGGAGCCACTGGGTGGCTTCTCAAAGCCCTCAGGAAGCATGCTATCTTTTTACAGAATGCAAAAACATCAAGAAACCCCTCTATGAGCCCCCAATCCCGGGCTGGGCTGGCTACCTCCCAAGAGCCAGGGTCACCGAATTAGGCTGTGCCACGCGGTACACTGTCATGGCCAGAAACTGCTACAGGGACTTCCTGGGCATCATGGAGCAGGCCAGGATGGCACACCTGAAGCCATTTGAGGAGTGAGTCCAGCGTGGGGCTGGCGTGGGGCACAGCCACAGGTGACGAGAACCAGGGCCAGAGCTGGGGCTGGGCTGAGGGGGGCGTTTGTAGGGGCCCCACCCCAGTTCTACGGCTGCTTTTCTGTTTGGTTGGTTGTACAGAAGGAGCCTTGTTGGTAATAGCAAGGCCTTCACGGTAAGCAGCGACCCTCCACTCCCCGCCCCACCCAGAATTCTCCAGAAGCCTGCTTGCGGTCTTTGCTGGTTGCAGGGAGAGACCAGGAGTAAAAACCCACTGGGCCACCTGTCCTGGCAGCAACCTAAGTCCTGAGGAGGGGCATGGTAGGGCCCTGCAGAGGGGGGCTGTTTGGCCTCAGTTTTCCCTCCTGCATAATGGAGATAAGATAATCCTTTAAGTTTAGGATAAATCCCCATCAGGATTAGAAAGTAAGCTGCTGTGCTCACACAGGACAGATTGTATTTCTTTTCTTTATTATTCAAAAGAGGAGTAAGTCTATGACTTTTGTCCTTTAGAATGTATGGCGACAGGTCCACCCAACCTCCTTCCGTCCCTTCTCCAAAAGTTTTGCAGCATGAAGGACCGCTGCCCAAATGTCTGGAGTTTTCTGTCGCAGGTAAGGGAGCGCTCTTTCTTTCTTTCCTGCTACTTTTATAAAGGGGATGAGATGTTTGCAGTAGCCTCCCTGCTTAGCGGCGCCGTCGGCCTGTAACTCGTCAGGATGGTTTCTTTTCCAGGTGGCAGCTGTCTTGCCCACGGGAGACCCCTGACAGAGGAACCCAGACCTCCAGTGACATGTGGCTGTGCCCAAGGGACAAATATGTTGTGCAGCGGGAAGATTTACCTCGAGCCACTGTTCTCAGCAAAGTATGCGGAAAGCTGAGGCAGACAGCCTGCCAAGGAGAGGTGAACGTAGCAGGAGACTCAGAAACTCATCACTCTTGCATGAGAACCAGCCCCTCACCCACACCCAACAGGCCCTAGGAAAATTTCAAAACCTAAGAATCCTTTCAACTGCCACCGGCTCGCTGTCTGTTTGGCAACAGCATGTCATTAATGATAAAGACCTTTCACTGCGGTGTGGGAATAAAGAAGCTACTTCTCAGCATGCTGAAGGTTTCTGTGGGGGCTGGGGGTTCCTAGGTTGTGTTGACCTTGAGAAGAGCCGGGGTGAGGCTCATCTCTTCCTTACCTTGAGGTGACATTGTGCACCTGGATCAGACTCTTATGGAAGCCCTAGCCCAGCACACTAACCAACCAGCGGTCCCTGTCAGCCATCTTGGGTCCTGACGTGGTGGCACGACGGTATGCCCACCCAACCCTGGTGTTTCAGAATCCCACTCCTCAGGAGACCCCAACTGGCGGACACAAGATGTATTTGTTTCACAGCACTGCTGTAACAGTACCTCACACTGGATGCCATAAGACAACAGAAGTGTATTACTTCACGGTTCTGGAAGCCAGAAATCCAAATTCAAGGTGTTAATAAGGCCGCGCTTTTTTGGAAACCTCGAGGGAGAATCCTTCCTTACCTCTTTCTTTCCAGCTCCCAGTGGTTTGCTGGAAATCCTCGGCCTTCCTCGGTACATAACTACTATCCCTATCTTTATGGTCCTGTGATGTCCCCTCTGTGTCTCTGTGTCTTCACATGGCTGTTGTTTTATAAGGATGCCAGTCACCCTGGATTAGGGCCCACTCTTTTCCAGGATGAGCGTGTCTAAGCTTAGCTCATTATACCTGCAGTGAGCCCCTTTCCAAAGAAGTCCTAGGCTGAGGTACTGGGGGTTAGGACTTCAACCTTGCGCTATTGGGGACACAGTTCGGCCCAGCGCACTGGCTCATACTTGTTGCCACTGACAGGCACTCTCTCTGACCTCGCTCGGCATCCAGCGGCTTCAGAAGACCTCAAATGCAGCTCGTGGAGCAGCGAGACCACCGCAGACATCCAAAGGCTCAGTAATGGGCAGAGCCACAACAGTACAGCACTCGGGTCCTGGGAGACCTGCCCAGGGCAGAGAAATCAGATGCCAAATCTTAAACTCTAATGAGTACAAAGGACTTTGATGAGAAAACAATCACCTCTCTGTTTTTACGAACCTCCCAAGTGTGATTTAGCATTCCCTTCCCTTAACACAGCAAACCACAGGCATCCTGTCCCGTTGGCCTAATAGAAGCCACAGATCTGTCTGTATCATAACGTTGGCTGCGTGCAGTGTCGCAAAATGTTAGTGTTGATCGTACTGTATAATGATGTAGTTATTAGAGTGACTGTATCGACACTCTAACATATGGCTATTCAATCTGTGCAAGAAGAAGCTCATGGTTGGGGGGTGCCTGGGTGGCTCAGTGGATTAAACCTCTTGCCTTCGGCTCAGGTCGTGATCTCAGGGTCCTGGGATTGAACCCCGCATTGGACGCTCTGCTCAGCAGGGAGCCTGCTTCCCCATCTCTCTGCCTGCCTCTCTTGTGATCTCTGTCAAATAAATAAATAAAATCTTTAAAAAAAAAAAAAAAGAAGCACGTGGTTGGTTCATAGAATTGTCCTAATACTTGGATTCTATTTCAATGTAATTAGTTACCCTTGAAGTGTCACGTATTTTGCTTTCTGCATTTAAACACGTTTATTGTGAGAGGAGGCCCTCATAGTTCACCCGCCAGCCAGAGGGGCCTGGCCCAGACACGATTTCTCCTCCAGGGAAACAGCCAAAGATGATGTCCAGGGTGATTGTCATACAAAACAAAGCAGCAGCCCAAACCCCACAGGATTTGGGATTACCATCTCTCCCACTACCCAACAATGATGTGATAGAAGATTACTGTTACGGACAGATACTTATAGAACATGAAAAACAGGCCTAAAAACAGGCCATAAAACTACAGTTTTATGAACAATTGTTCGAGAACAATAAACCCATGTACACACACACACACACACACACACACGCACACACACAATGATCCTATTTTTTCATTTTTAAAACAGTGGGGGGAGGGGGGAGGACACTAGCCCATAATGCTTGTGGTGGTTATTTGGATGATGGTGTATCGTTAGTTATTTTTATTTTCTTGTTTGAGTGCCTTCCAATTTTCCACAGCCCATGTGTATTGTTTTCACAATTAGGATAAAAAAAAATCTTTATTTTAAAGATTTTAATTTTCTTGAGATTGTATGTTTACAGGAAAAAAGCCACGTGTCAATAGAGGGTAGCTGGCAGCTTGCTCAAAGGGCTGGAACAAACCTCAGTGAACATAGTTAATATTTTTTTCAACTTTGTTAAGACCCTGGAAGAATGACCCCCCCCCCCCGCCTGCCCCTGCCTCCATCCATGATGAAAGCAGGAGATAGATGGGACCCCTGCCTGGGGTGGGCGGGCCAAACTGCCACCGCTCTGGCCCCTTGGAAATGAGGGAGGTGGAAGCCGTTTCTGCCCAGCCACCTGTCCCAAACCCACAGAGTTTGTAGATGACGGCTCTGGACTGAAGGTTCTTGAGCTCTGCCCGTGAAATTAAGGGGTGCCAGGATTGAAATGATTCCTTGCAAGGAGCCCTCATCCTGATCTTGGAATCCTATTGGGCATCAGTGTTCAAGTCACTGACTAAATCAGTGGGTATCACCTTTGAAAACTGGCTTGAACTGTAAAACAAAAGCAAAAAACAGCAACCCAGGGACAGAGGTAACAATTGAATAACGGCCATCATAGCATGTAATTCGGCTACAACTTCATGATTAAGATTGCCTAGTTCAGTGTGCAAATCTGCAAGTCCTTTTGTGGACACAGTTCCTCACTGTAATTCTTTTCCTTAATCTTCCCCCTCGCTGCTCCTCCCTAGCCTGTAATTTCGGGAGCATCGTGTGTCGGTCGAGGCAGAGAGGTGATTTCTGCAGAGTATGGTATCATTATTAGCACAAGCTGCATCCGTAATGAGCTCATTCCTGCCACTAAAAACAATTCCGTTACCTGATAAGACAAATGTCCCTGGGTCTGGAGACGTGAAGAAACCAAAGTGAGGGTTTGTGTGTTTGCTGATGGACCACAGGGCCTTTTGTCGGGATCCTTTGGCTTCCCTAGCATTAAAGTGCTCTTTTGCGGTCACTTCTTTATCTTCCTGTGCCAGAATCCTCCGGAAGCAAGCTGTGGGGAGGGCCTGTCCTGTTGCCTGTCCTGACTGCCCCACCCCCGACCCCCCACAGACTGGGGACAGGCTGCCTCTAACCAGGATCTTAATCTTGGCTTTAACGTCGCTCCAGTATAGCTGTGAAGCCTGTGGCCAGGAGGGAGACTCCCTGAGTTCAGATCTCAACTCTGGGTTTTTCTGGTTGTGTGGCTCTGGATGCTTGCCTTAACCTCTCTGATCCTCCAATGCCTACTTTGTAAAAGGAATGAAGATAACAAAACAGCTCACTCAGGCGCCCTGTTGTTTATGGAAATAGGGAGCTTAGGCAGGTAAATCCAGCCCACACCTGCTCAGGAAGGATTGTCAATTACCCCTGGGGAAAAGGGACCCAAGAACTCAGCTGACATGGGTTGGGGATGGGTTGGCGTTATGTCCCTCGTGGTGAGTTATTAACACAACGCGGTTCAGAACCCCGGGCTCCTGCCCACGAATGGAGACTCTTTACCACTGGACGTTCCTCCCAGGGATTCTACCCCAGGAGGGAGGCTGCTCGGGCATCACTGACCAGTAATAAAACCAGCAGCAGCTGCTAATGTGCTTGCTTGTGTCAGGCTCTGGCCTAAGTCCTTCCCCTGGAATAGCTTATTTAATTAGTATTCTTTAAACATTTTCATCTTATGAATGAATAAATTGAGGCACTTGGCTCAGGGTCACACAGACAGTAAATGGCAGGAGGTCTGAGGTCAGAGTCGGCACGCTTAACCTTCATGCCACACTGCCACGTCAATGCCACGTCGTTGCCACGTCACTGCCACATCACTGCCACATCAATGCCCCATCGTGTGATCCTCTGAGGCCACTATCACAACATGAACTACTGCTCCAAGAGCTGCTGGATCAATTCAGAAAGAAAAGAGACGAGAGAATTCATGAGAAACCCGGAAGTATACGAAGTGCGAGAGTTGGTATAATGGGGTTCAGGATGTCGAGGGCTAGGCTCTGGGAGGCCTCACACCTGTTTGTGTCATGTGGCTGCTGTGTGATCTGGCAGGAAAAACTCACCCACTCTGAGCCCCAGTCTCCTGTTATGATGATGTAATGATGACGCCTTCTTCATGAGGTGATTTGAGAGGATTAAATGCACATGAACATGAAGGGCATGGCCTGGCATTTTGCCGGCACAGGGCTCACGGGCAGCCCTTGACCGAGCTGAAGGCCCTGGAAAGGAACACCACCACCAGAACAAAAGTTGAGAGGTTTGAGTAAGGCCAGAGCCTAGAGGGCCTCATCTCCTTGCCCTGCTCTAGGCCTTGCTCATCAGCCTCTCTCCCACCCCAAGAGTTTCAAGAGCTGGGGTCTTGGCTCCTTCCCAAAGGGCCTCTGAGTTCCTCAACCAAATTACCCCCATGTCACCCCGGACTTCTCCCCCAACAAATACCCAAAGTTTCCCCTGGTGCCCAGCCCAGAAGCAGTGCTCTACAGTAGGAGCCATCGTTAGATGGGAATACCCAGCAGGCAGAGTCCCCAACTGTCCTCTCCTTAAAAGTCTCTTTTTCTAAGCTGATGGAGATGAGCTTGGTGGGGAGACGGGGGGGTACACCAGCCTCCATAAGTCTTCCAAAAATAGCCCCCCCCCGCAGAGGCTGATATGTCCCCAACAAAAGCCTGTGTTTGCATCTGGATTTAAACTAGATTTTTTGAATTCTCCAAAGGCTAAGAGCATATACTCTACCTTCCCTGGCTAGTCTGGGGTACTATCAGGAAGGGGCACCAGGTACGCCATGACCTGAAGGGGCCGAACACCTAGCCCTTGTTTAGCCCTCGTTTCCAGTATGTGTTCTGAAGGTCACACCAAGGGCAAATCTCCCCAGGCTTCTCCATCTGGCTGAGGCACCCCCTGCCTTCCATAGCCCCGGTCTGGGTGACTGGCAGCTGCTAACAGATGTCTGGCTTAAGGCCATTTGAACCAAAGCCACTCCCATTTGCTTAAACTCAACACAGTTTTGGTGATTGCTTATTTTTCAACCCATTTGTCTAAGGACATTTAGGACTTATTTTATAATTTTATAATTTGTGTGCACGTTGATCACAACTGCAGCTTTGTGAAAGTTGGGGTTGTTTTATTTCTTGGTTCCCCTTTTTTCCTCATTTTTTCTAAAAACTTTTATCTAACATCTAATAAAAGGTTGAGAACCTTTTAGCCAATGCATCTATAAAGCTTTCTATGAAATTGG